TGTCTTAATGCTATTAAGACTATATTAGGTGGTTTTTCTTTTAAGTCATGAGACTGATGTATGTGATGTGGATTCGACATTTAAGATGGAAGTGTTCATAGGCACAGCCCGCTTTATTGTGTTTTGCTTCATTGCACTTTATAGATACTGCGTTTTTACTAGTTGAAGGTTTATGGCAGCCCTCTGATAAGCAAGCCTGTCCATGCTGTGAGGTGAACAGCATGTGCTCACTTCATGTCTCTGTGTCGTGTTTTGGCAATTCTCACAGTATTTCACACTTTTTCTTTATTACTGTGTCTGATCTGTGGTCAGTGATCTTGGATGTTCCTAATGTAATTGTTTTGGGGCATCAAAAGCCATGTCTGTGTAAGATGGCAGATTAGTCCATTCTCATACTGCTATAAAGATACTATCTGAAACTGGGTAATTTATCAAGAAGGGAGGGTGAATTGACTCAAGGTTCTGCATGGCTGGGGAGGCCTCAGGAAACTTATGGTCGTGGCAGAAGGCGAAGGGGAAGTGAGGCACGTCTTACATAGTGCCAAGAGAGAGAGAATGCCCAGGAGAAGCAGCCACTTTTAAAACCATCAGAACGTGTGAGAACTCTCTCACTATCATGAGAATAGTATGGGAGAAGCCGCCCCCATGCCAATCACCTCCTCCCAAGTCCCTTCCTTGACATGTGGAGATTACAGTTCCACATGAGATTTGGGTGGGGACACGGAGCCAAACCATATAAAATGGCCAAGTTAATTGATAAATGTTGTGTCTTCTGACCCACTGACTGTTGTTCTATCTCTCCCTCTCCTGGATTTCCCTATTCCCTGAGACATAATAATACTGAAATTAGGCCAGTCAACAACCCTGCAGTGGCCTTTAAGTATTCAAGTGAAAGAAAGAGTTACATGCCTCTCACTTTCAGTCAGAAGCTAGAAATCAGCCAAGCGTGGTGGCTCATGCCTGTAATCCCAGCACTTTTGGAGGCCGAGTGGGGGCGGATCACCTGAGGTCAATTCGAGACCAGCCTGGCCAATGTAGTGGAAACCCCGTCTACTAAAAAAAAAAAAAAATTAGCTGGGCATGGTAGTGCACACCTGAAGTCCCAGCTACTTGGGAGGTTGAGGCAGGAGAATCACTTGAACCTGGGAGGCAGAGGTTGCAGCGAGCCAAGATCACAGCATTGCACTCCAGTCTGGGCAACAGAGTGAGACTCCATCTCAAAGAAAAAAAAAAGGCAAAGCTGGAAATGATTAAGCTTAGTGAGGAAGCCATGTTTAAAGCCAGTGCAGGCTGAAAGCTAAGCCTCTTATGCCAAACAGCCAAATTGTAAATGCAAAGGAAAAGTGCTTGAAGGAAAATAAAAGTGCTGCTCCAGTGAACACACCAATGATAGAGAAGCAGCCTTCTTGCTGACAGGGAAGAAGTTTTAGTGCCTGGATAGGTGATCAGCCCAGACCTTGTATTTCCTTAAGCCAGAGCCTATTCCACAGCAAAGTCCTAACTGTCTTCAGTTCTATGAAAACTGACAGAGGTGAGGAAGTTGCAGAAGAAAAGTTTGAAGATGTTGGTTTATGAGGTTTAAGGAATAACTCCCATCTCTGTAACATAAAAATGCAAGGTAAAGTAGCAAATTATCCAGAAGATTAGCTAAGGTCATTGATCAAGATGGCTCCACTAAACAACAGATTTTCAATGTATATTAAACATCCTTTTTTTAGAAGAAGATACCATCTAGAACTTTTCCAGCTAGAGAGAAGTCAGTGCCTGACTTCAGGGCTTCAAAAGACAAGCTGTCTTGTCACAGCTAATGCAGGTGATGACTTGAAGTAAGCATTCATTTCTCATTCGGAAAACCCTAGGGCCCTTAAGAATCATGTTGAATCTATACTGCCTGTGCTCTATACCTGGAAAAACAAAGCCTGGATGGCAGCATATCTGTTTACAGCCTGGTTTACCGAATATTTTAAGCCCACCATTGAGACCTACTGCTCAGAAAAAAAATTGTCCCTTCAAATATAACTGCTCATCAACAGTGCATCTGGTCACCCAAGAGCTCTGATGCAGAAGTACAAGATGAATGTTGTTTTTATGCCTGCTGACCCCTCATCCATTCTGCAGCCCAGGGATCAAGGAGAAATTTCAACTTTCAAGTCTTACTGTTTAAGAAATACATTCTGTAAAATGATAGCTCCCACAGACAGTGATTCCTCTGATGGATTTGGGCAAAATAAGTCAAAAACCTCCTGGAAAGGATTCACCACCCCAGATGCCATTGACAACACTTGTGCTTCTTGGGAAGGGGACAAAATATGAACATTAATAGGAGTTTGAAGGAAGCTGATAGCAACTCTCATGGATGACTTTGAGGGGTTCAAGACGTCTGTGGAAGAAGGAGCTGCAGGTGATATGGAAATAGTGAGATAACTCTAGTTAAAAGTGGAGCCTGAAGATGGGACTGAATTGCTGCTGTCTCAGGATCAAACTTTCAGGACAAGAAGTTGCTTCTTATGACTATCAAAGAAAGTGGTTTCCTGAGGTGGAATCTACTCCTGGTGAAGATGCTGCAAACATTGTTGAAATGACAATAAGCAATTTAGCATATCACATAAATTTAGTTGATAAAGCAGGACAGGGTTCGAGAGTGTGACTCCAATTTTGAAATAAGTTCTGCTGTGGGTAAAATGCTATCAAACAGCATGGCATGCTACAGAGAAATCTTTTTTGAAAGGAAGAGTCTATCGATACAGCAAACTTCACCGTTGTCTTATTTTAAGACATTGTCACAATCACCCTAACCTTCAGCAACCACCACCCTGGTCAGTCAGCAACCATCAAACGCTGAGGCAAAACCCTCTACCAGCCAGATTATCACTCGCTGAAGGCTTAGGTGATTGTTAGCATTTTTCAGCAATAAAATGTTTTAAAGGTATGTACATTTTTTAAAAGATATAATGCTGTTTTGCACTTAATAGACTATAGCATAAACATAACTTTATATGCATTGGGAAACCAAGAAATGTGTGTGATTCACATATTGCAGTATTCCCTTTACTGCACTGCTCTAGAACCAGCCTGCAGTATCTCTGAGGCATACCTGTATAGGAAAAGTTTTTTTTTTTTTGAGATGGAGTCTCATTCTGTTAACAGGCTGGAGGGCAACCCCTGACTCCCTGGTTCAAGTGGTTCTCCTGCCTCAGCCTCCTGAGTGGGATTGCATGCACACACCAACACACCCAGCTAATGTTTGTGGTTTTTTTTTTAGTAGAGTCAGGGTTTCACCATGTTGGCCAGGATGGTCTTGATCTCCTGACCTCATGATCTGCCCGCCTTGGCCTTCCAAAGAGCTGGGATTACAGGCGTGAGTCGCACCTGGCCGAAAAATTCTTTCTTTACTAAATAGCATCTTTGAAGTGTATTCTCTCCACTGTTCTTTTAACTACAATGGCCTCATCTAATTTTGTTTAGAAGCTTACCTGCCGCTTTCCTTGTCACAGCCGTTCTTTCCTGAAGTTCATATTGCTCTTGTGTCTCATGCCTCTGCAGATGGAGTAGTCACCATTGGGTGTTCTCTGATGGTTCGCTGTGTGAGGTGCTTGCATTTTAACCTGAGCCAATTGCATGATTCTATGCTATATCTTTGATATGTTCTTATTTCCTGAAGTAGATTTGTGATCAGGAGTAACAGCCTTCAGAACTAAATGATAGAATCCTGTTATAATGCCCTTTTAAATCTTAGTTTCCTCATAACAAGTATTTTTGTATGACCAGAATATTTTGTTGTGGCAGGGAGTACCTTTTCCTTTTTAAGTTCTGTAAGAGAAAAGAGAAAGGAAAATAAGCTCTGAAATCAGCGTTTATAAATGTATTCATATGATTTGGAATGTAGAGGTTTAGGCAGGTGGTTCAGTTGGTGGACTAGGGAAAATCATTTATTTTCAGGGGAAGTAAAGCATGGGTTGATACTGATGTTTGCAGTCCAGTTTGAAGATATACTTGCCTATTTTTTCCTTCCTGATTTTTATATTTATATTTTATTTCTGTTACACTGAGAAATCTTGGTCTTTCAGCATCTTAAAAATTGTTGCCTTTTTTTTTTTCCAGTTCTTTTTATTTTTGGTCTATCCATAAGAATCTTGACTCTTCCACTTTGCATTTACTTACAACCACCACTTCCTAAAGGGATTCGAGCAGTTTTGTTACTCAACTATATGGGGAATTGAGATCAGACAATTTTACTTAGAATTTCTTCTACAGATATAGAACACAAGTAATTCTATTATGTGCTGTTGTTGTTTTGGTAGGAAAAGCAGTATTTCTAATCAATAGCTTTTACCAATCCACATCTACTTAATGGAATCTTAGCTAACTGTATGGGAGTTATTCTAAGATAAACACAGATGTTGAATGGGTAGAGCATGGTCTGATAATTGGAAAACACAAAGTAAAACAATGATAAAGTCCCATTATTTAACCACCAGATTGGTAGGGTTTTAGTATTGTTTTTGGTGAGGAATGTGAAAAGGACATTTTTATACACTTTTGGTGGGAATATAAATGGGCACAGTATTTTTGAAGGGCAGGTAGGTACTATCGACATTAAAAATGAGCGTAAGTCTTTGACCCCAAAATCTTACTTTTTGAGTGCTAGTCTGCATATGTATACAAAAACATGTATGTAAAAAGACAGTTTCTGAATCGTTATTTGTAATTACAGTAAAGAGAAATTGTCAAAATTCTAAGTGTCCTTCCATAGGAGAATGAGTAAATAAATTATTTTATGATTTTCCTAGAGAAAACTGTGACTTTATCGAAAAACGAAAAGAGGCAGGTCTCCATGTACCACCAAAGAAAGATGTCCTTGGTATATTACAAAGGATGAAGGGTGTAGGTCTGTGTTTTGTACTGACCCATTTTGTTTATAAAGAAACAAGCCTGTGTGCACCAGATTTGATAATTGGAAATTGTTTGGAACTTAATATTTTGCCCTTGTTTTAAAACAGCTTTTAGAAATTAACTGGACAGGACTGACGAATCTTCTGGATATCCCTGGATTGAAGTAAGTCTCAATGTCCAGTCCCCGAGGCTTAGCCTGTCGAGGGCATCTTGTGCATTTTCTGTGTTTTGACAGCAGCATCAGAATGTTAAGACTTGCATCTGCCAGGTGAATGGGTGCCTTCTCCATAGGCTGTCGTGAGTAACAAGCAGAGGGCACGGGGGCTTTGTTCTGCCCACAGAGAGCTACTTGGAGGCAGCGAGCCAGGGCAGGAGGGCTCTGAGTGCCAGACTGAGCACTCGCCCTTCATTTGCTTTTATTTACCACAAGGCATCTTCTGCCCTTGGCATTTTAGAAAAGTAGAGACCTTTTAATATTTTGTAAACTAGTTTGCAAATGTGGTTTTTATTATCTTCTCAGAAACAATTAAGGATACTTTAAAAGCAAATGCTTTTCAGCGTCTCTCCAGCCTGCAGCTACTACCCCACCGTTTCTGCCTTTTTTTTAAAAAACATTCCATTCCTATTTGAAAGGGGTTGGGGTCAGTATGGACTTCTCCAGGATTCTTGAGTGTGAAAGGTGAGGAACTTGAAGTTTCGTTGTCATTTCATTGGGAGTCCCTTCATTATTCCATAGCAATCTCGTGTCTAAAACAGGAAGAAAATGTTCTATAACAAGCATCTGAGGCCCGGGAGGGTGCGTCCCTTCTAAGAGACAAGGAGTCATTCTAGTTGCCATGGTCCTGTTACATGAAACAGAGCAGGTAGACCTGTGGGTCACCACCAAATAGAAAGTTTCAAAATTACAGCCTCTGAGTGCTTTTGCTGGCTTACCGTTTTATTTCAAAGTTAAAATGCATCACCTGTGGTTACAGTTGTGTGTTTCTAGTGGTTATTTTCTAGTGTGATTTGTTTTTCCTAAAATAGGTTAAGAAAATTTCAGACTGTTGGGCTGGGCACGGTGGCTCACGCCTGTAATCCCAGCACTTTGGGAGGCCGAGGCAGGTGGATCACGAGATCAACAGATCAAGACCATCCTGGTCAACATGGTGAAACCCCGTCTCTACTAAAAATACAAAAATTAGCTGGGCACGGTGACGCGTGCCTGTAATCCCAGCTACTCAGGAGGCTGAGGCAGGAGAATTGCCTGAACCCAGGAGATGGAGGTTGCGGTGAGCCGAGATCGCGCCATTACACTCCAGCCTGGGTAACAAGAGCAAAACTCGGTCTCAAAAAAAAAAAAAGAAAATGAAAATTTCAGACTATTGTTTTATTCCTGTATATTTGTTTATGCCTCTGAATTGGACTTTCTAAAGAGTTTTGTTTCATTATTAGGGAAAAATTAGGACTTTACTTATCTGAAATACAGTCATAATAATAGTCCTTTTTAGGTGCTGTGGTTTACTGGATATAGAAAAATGCTGTAACCTTTGGAAGATCTGTGGAAAGAAAGCACAACTTTAAAAGATTGGTTAGAGTTCATTAAGGTTCTCGTTGCAAGCAACAAACCTGACTCAGATCGTCTTACATAGGTAAATAAGTAAATTTTTTTTTTTTTTTTTTTTTGAGATGGAATCTTGCTCTGTTGCCCATGCTGGAATGCAGTCAGTGGCTTGATCTCAGCTCACAACAAGCTCCGCCTCCCAGGATCAAGCAATTCTGCCTGCCTCAGCCTCCCAGGTAGCTGGGATTACAGGCACCCGCCACCATGCCCTGCTAATTTTTGTATTTTTTTTTACTAGCAATGGGGTTTCACCATGTTGGCCAGGCTGAACTTCTTGACCTCAGGTGAACTACCTGCCTCGGCCTCCCAAAGTGCTGGGATTACAGTCATGAGCCACTGCACCTGGCCGGTAAATAATATTTTTAAAAGGCAGTTTACTAGTGCTTACCCTGACCCACCCACAGCTCTTTGAGCATGGGACACAGCTGTGCTTGTTTCCTAGCTCAGCAGCTGGTAAGCTGACATGTTTTCTGAGGGGTTTCAGGTGGAGCCCGTGTTGGGTGCTGGAAGGGCTCTCTCTCCACAGCTCCTGACCCACGCAGGGTGGGCATGTTCCTCGTGGACTTGTTTTCAGGCAGGCTCTTGCTGTGCCTGCAGCTACAAGCCTTTAGTCTGCGGACTTAGCTGCCTTTCCCACTAGGTCGTGGACTGACGTGTCTGTGTCTACCACCCTTGGACAGGTTCCTGTGACTCCGATGATCAGGTTCCAATCTCATGCACACCCTTAGAGAAGGCAAAGAAATGGATTACTTGCTTGAAAAAAAATCCAGTGAAAGAGGGTATCCCCCAAAGCAAAAATTTTCACTAGAAATAGGAGAATAAATACTGTGTAGCCAAACAGAACAAACATCCACACAGGTAAGCATGGAAAAAAGTATTTGTTTGATTTTGCCTTCCTTCAGTATCATAGGAGGAGTGAAATAAGACAGCATTATTGAGCATCTACTCTGTAAATATCATCATATTAATACCGGCAACCTGAAAGGGCAAAGTCAAAGAATGTGTTCTGCCCCGGCAAGCCTACCATTTGGGAAAGTTGATCCCTGATTCATTTTATTTAAAAGGCATTCACACACACCCATGTAAATACAGACATGCACATACATATATGTCTCCATTCTAGTTAATAATTTATATGTAGGCTCTTTTTATGCAGTAGTTGTTTCTGGATATTTTATTTTTATTATTTATTTATTTAGCGATCTCCCTATGTTGCTCAGGCTGGCTTCAACTCCCTAGGCTCAAGGGCTCTTCCTGCCTTAACCTCCCAAGTAGCTGGACCACCGCACCCAGCTTCTGTTGTCTTATATATAGATTTTATATATATAATACAAAAATATACTCATATGTATATATAGAATTATGCTATTAAAAATACTTACCTAACATAAATGCACATACATTATTCAAAAAATAGGCTGTTGTATAAAAGGGAGATGTAAAAATACTTATAAGTTTATATGTATAGGTATATATAATTTATATATAATTATATAGATTTTATATAATACAACTGTTTACATAAATGTTATGTACTAAAATTTAATAGATATGTATGTAAAATTGGAGCTACTAATTCTCAGTCTTTCTATCAAATAAATCACAGCTGTAACAACCCTTAGGTTATAAAAGTAAATATTAAATAACTATGAGGCCAGGTGTGGTGGCTCATGCCTGTAATCCCAGCACTTTGGAAAGCCGAGACTGGTGGATAACCTGAGGTAGGGAGTTCAAGACCAGCCTGGCCCATGTGGTGAAATCCCATCTTTACTAAAAATATAAAAATTAGCCAGGCTTGGGCACACACCTGTAATCCCAGCTATTTGAGAGGCTGAGACAGGAGAATTGCTTAGAACCTGGGAGGTGGAAGTTGCACTGAACCGAGATCACACCATTACCTTCCAACCGGGGCAACAGAGTGAGACTCCATCTAAAAAAAATAATAACTATGAACTTAACATAATTAAATCTTGTCACAAGCTTTATAAAATGAGCATCCACATGCTATGTTAACAGATTACAAAAAGAAACTCCAGGCATTATGGAGTAAGAATAATGCCTGAATTCCTTCCCTACACCATAACTTCGGGCTATCCCTATTAAATATCCCTGTCATGTTTTGATAAGTGGCCCTAAGCCGAGTGTTGAAGGTGTAAGAAGGGCAGAGATTATGGTGGAAACAAAATATGGGTGATGAGCCATCGTGGTTCCGAAGGACACACAGGGAAATAGTGATTCCCAAGAAAGTAATCACTGCAGGTGACGCTTCTGTGAAGGCCTAGGGGAGCAGCATTCACACCCATCAGTTCGGGGGCTTGCAGGTGTACTGGGGTGAGGAGGTGCAGAGAGGGGAGCCCTGCCAGGGAGGTCTGTCAGAGCCGCTGTGGCCTCTGAGGCCAGGAGTCTGTGCAGGAGGAAGGTGGATGGGCCCTGCCCTGTGTGGTGAACACACAGCCAGTATCTGCTGGCTGAAGCCCTCTGAATCTCTGGAGGTATTAACTGTCTGAATAACTGACCTGTTCATAAGTAGTGTTATATATGGTTTTTCTTTTTGGCGGTTTTAAAAGGTTTTTCCCATATTAAAATGAAAAGTCCTTGAAGTGCTGGGTCCTCATATGCGGACACTTTATTGCAGTGGGTGCTCAGACATTGTTTGTTGACTGTTGATGATTATCACTGTCTCGGTGGGTATTTTTGTGTGTAATTACTTACGTATGTTAATAATTTTAGCATCTAAAACATTACTGGAGAGAAGTAAAGCACTTTTGCAACTCTACAGTTCAGGTAAAGGTGTTATACAGCAGTGAAACTTAACGTTTATAAATGTTTTTAAAAGTGCTGTCATATACACATTATTTAATTCTCACATTTACCCTAAAGAATAGGATATATATATGCTTGTTTAAATAGAGATGGGAGGGGTCTTGCTATGTTGCCCAGGCTAGTCTCCCACTCCTGGGCTCACCTTAGCCTCCCCAGAGTGTTTGGATTACAGGCGTGAGGCAGCATGGCCGGCCAAAAAAGATTTATTAAAAGTATATCTTTGACCAGGTGTGGTGGCTCATGCCTGTAATCCCAGCACTTTGGGACACCAAGGCAGGTGGATCACCTGAGGTCAGGAGTTTGAAACCAGCCTGACCAACATGGTGAGCCCCATCTCTACTTAAAATACTAAATTAGCTGGGCGTGGTGGCAGGCACCTGTAATCCCAGCCATTTGAGAGGCTGAGGCAGGAGAATTGCTTAAACCCCAGAGGTGGGGGTTGTAGTGAGCTGAGATTTTGCTGTTGTACTCTAGCCTGGATGACAGAGCAAGATTCCATCTCGAAAAAGAAAAAGTACATTTTTTTCCTTTAGCCTATGCAATTGTGTTCACCTTACTAAGTTTGCTGTGCAGCGAAGTATAGTATCAAAATTATTAACGTGTTCAGTACTCAGAAGTGTTGGGTAATGGGTAAAGAGAAAGCAAGCCAAGTTCTCTTCAGTGGGGGCTAGTGTACAAAGCAGAGGAATGGAATGTGTGGGGCCAGTGAATGTTATATTATTCTCTGTACTTATATGTATGTTTGAAATATTATGCTAAATTAATGAGTCATATTTTAGTAATTATGTATAAATTCTGTGATGAAGTAGGAATATATGAAATGTTTAGGAAATTCAGTTACTTGTGCAATAACTAGAATTTTACCTTATGTTCTATGAATAAATTCTGTATCAATAGTCATCATGGTAGTATCACAGCTAAAGTGTTGAAATGCTGGTTTTAAATATTGCACAGGAGAAATTAGAAAACTCCTACTCTGTAAATAAATGGGACATTTTATCGTATTTGCGATAAGTGTTGTCAGAGGTGAGGGAAGTGTTCACATGTCTGACAGTCCATTTGTTCTTTTTGTCTCCCAACTAACAGTGGTTTATCAGATACTATCATTTCGGATATAATATCAAATTATCTGGTGCTCCCCAATCGAATCACCGTTCCACTTGTCAGTGAAGTTCAGATAGCTCAGTTGCGGTTTCCTGTACCAAAGGTAAGCGTGTCCTGGCATCCGTTCACATTTAAAAACATCTTGGAGGCCTGCATGCCTGTGGGTGTGGCATTGGGTGTTGTGACTCTTTGTCTCCCAGCAGCCAGCTTGCACCTGGGTCTTGATGCATTGACTGCTTGTCCGTCACTCTCCTTAAGAGACTTGACTGATGGGCGCGGACCCTAAAGCTTGTCTTGGAGACAGCAGGATGGTTCTCACCCCATAACTGTGTTCTTCAAAGGCGCCAGTAGGGATTTGAATTTGCAGAGGTACACAGCACAGACATCTTAGTTACCTCAGAAGGCAAATACAGCATTTGTTTTTATTAAAGTGGACGGCCCTCAGCAACAAGCACCAGTTTTCCTGGCAGTCATGATGAGGCTTCATGTAATAATTTATATATTTTCTCTCAGATGTTAGATCCATTGCCTCTGAAGCCATTTAAAGAATAACCTGGTAGAAGAAGAACTTATATAACAGCTGACCTGGATAAAATGGAAAGAACAGACCTAGATTTTTATCGCAGCTCTTGAGTTTAGCTGTAGCTTTGTTTTTATGGGCACATTGTTTGGCATGTCTGGGCCGCAGTTACATCATCTGTAAAATGGGACGGTACCCAGCACACAGCACTGAGTTGCAGATATTGAAGTCACCTTCATTTGAGCAAACTAAATAACTGCAAAATAGTAGTCAAGAACGTGAAATTCCTTCTGATTATGGAAGGGGTGAGTGGAGTGAAGGATCTCACAGGCTAAGGAGAGCTTGTCAGCAGCTCACGTAGTGGGTTCCATGTCTGTTTTGTCTGTGTGGACTTTGGACTCCAGAAGCCAGGTGAGCAATACTGTGTGGTGATGTCTGTAGTAAGCAGTGCACGCCACACTATTGATTTTTACTGAAACGGGATGTGGTGAGTTGGCCCCGTTTCAGTGGCTATATTGTTTTTATTTTTGTTCTCTGAAGTAGAAGTAGATCACTTTCTCCTGCTGCCTTTTTACTTTGGCTGGTTTAATTAGATCTAAGTAATGGTACGCAAATTAACAAACATGCATAGGCATCCTTACATTTTTTAAGAGTAACAATCTGCCAATTAATTTGGTGCTTAAATTGGTTATATCGTTGGCATTCAACAGATTTAATGTGACACTGTACATTAGAAAAGAATGTCTTTTTCCCTAACTTCTGACGCTCGCCTCTGGAAATGCAGGAATCCCTTTACATGTGGAAATTCTTGTGCTCCTCTTGGGCTCTGAGTACAGGTGAGCACCTGAGCATGCCTGGATCTGGCTGCCTTTAGCTACATGGGCTTAACAGCCAGTGCCATCAAGAGATGTGGCCAGGTTATCTCAGCTTTAGACATACGAAAATATAAGCAAGAGCTGCTTCAAGTTTTTGAAGCGTGTTCATCTGTGGAGGGACATGTATTCCTGTGCCGATTGAGTCAGGAATATCACTGCGTAATTTTAAAGCAGGATGTGTGGGGGCAGAATGCTTCCTACCAAAAGGTGACTTGAGTATCTTTGTTTGGTTTGGAAGAAATAAGAGTGAATTTTTTTTTTCTTTTATCAATAAAACAATATTTTAGGGAAAGGACTATATTTGTTTGTTTGAGACAGGATTTCACTGTCACCCAGGCTGGAGTGCAGTGGAGGGATCTCAGCTCACTGAAAGCTCCACTTCCTGGGTTCAAGTGAATCTCTGACTTCAGCCACCCGAGTAGCTGGGAATGTAGGCATGCGCCACCATACCCGGCTAATTTTTTGTATTTTTAGTAGAGGTGGGGTTTTGCTATGTTGGCCAGGCTGGTCTTGAACTCCTGGCCTCAAGTGATCTGCCCACCTCTGCCTCCGAAAGTGCTGGGATTACAGACGTGAGCCATTCATTGTGCCTAGCCAGGACTACGTTTGGAGTTTATGAATAATACATATTTCAAAGTTTTAGTTTTTTCCTCTCTAAAATAAGTGTAATGACAGTATTTCATAGGATTATTCTAAAAATGGAACGGCATAATTACTGCATGTCTAGTGCTTAGTAACAGTTCTGATGCAACCTCTCATGTTATTACTCACTGTAGCACCAGAATCTAGTAGAGCTTGGTGGCCTGTGTCACCAGCCCCCGTGAGAAAACCACGGTGCTGTGCTGGGTCCTCTGCACTCTGTGTCCCTCTGCCGGAAGCACTCTCGGGGGCTGCATGGACTGCCCGTCCTCGTGTCTCTGTGGAGGGGCCATCCCTCCAGAAGCCCATCTCTTCTCGTCTGAGCCAGCCCCACCCGGGCATTCCTGCTCTTGTTTTTCTTAGCATCTGCTGCCTCCTGTACACATTTACCACTTTTTGCCGCTGCTGGGATGTACTCAGTTGCAGAAGAGGGTCTTTTTTTTTTTTTAATTTTTTACTGCATTTTAGGTTTTGGGGTACATGTGCAGAACATGCAAGACAGTTGCATAGGTACACACACGGCAGTGTGTTTTGATTCCTTTCTCCCCTTCACCCACATTTGGCATTTCTCCCCAGGCTATCCCTCCCCAGCTTCCCCCGCGCCGCTGACCCTCCCCTTTTCCCCCCAGTAGACCCCAGTGTTTAGTACTCCCCTCCCTGTGTCCATGTGTTCTCATTTTTCATCACTCGCCTATGAGTGAGAATATGCAGTATTTCATATTCTCTCTGCACCCCCCATTCTCAAGACAGGGTCAGGCATGTAGCTATCTTCCACGCCAGTTAAACGAGCCAGCCAAGGGTCTAAACTTTAGTTTGTTCTTCTTTTCAGGGTGTTCTAAGGATACATTTTATTGAAGCTCAGGATCTTCAGGGGAAAGACACTTACCTTAAGGGACTTGTCAGGGGAAAGTCGGACCCCTACGGAATCATTAGAGTTGGCAACCAAATCTTCCAAAGCAAAGTCATCAAAGAGAACCTCAGTCCAAAGTGGAATGAAGTATATGAGGTGGGCCATTGTGTCAGCTGTGTCACTGGGGTGGTGGGTTGAGCCCTGAGTGTGGTGGCCAAGCTCTCATTCCAGCACAGTCACGTGGGAGTGTGACTGATTTTGGCCATCATTTAAATGTTCTTTGTTTAATTTCCTATCTTTTAAAAAGTGTCGTACCTTCTTTCCCTACTTCACAACATTCTTGTCATGCCAACAAGTAATGTTTTAAACCTTAATTGCATAATGCTATTATACTAAATGATCAGAAAAATATTTTTCATAATGTGAGTTGCTTGTCTTTCTAAGTTTAAAATGTTACGTGAGGTTATTAATGCAGTAAATGCAAAAATGAGGTTAGTTAAGCAGGACATCCTTTGCAGACACAGTTGCTGATAATTAATTAATTAATTAATTAAAAAGTCAGGACATTTTCACATGTCAAAGAATAGAGATCCACATGGTTTTTAATAACCATTCCACTGAATAGACACCTTCATCTGTTTACCCAGAGAGGCCTAGGCTATTCAGGTCAGCGTTACAAACAGTGCTGTACAAGTATGTGAGCGTCTCTTTCTTTACTCACCCAAATTTTCCCCAGATAAAGCTCTTTAAAGTGAAATTGCTGGATGAAGAGGTGTGTGTTTTTAAGGGCTGAACTATCTTTCTAGAATTGTCCTACAGCGCGGCCGTAGTAGTGTGATTTGTACTCCACCAGTTTCCTCTCCCCTACTCCTCTGTCAGTCTGGTCTCTTGCCAGTTTCTTACTGTGAGTGGTGCTAAGCAGGTAACTTGCGGATATTCCAAGATAGCATCTGAGTGGAAACACTTCAGGACTAGAGGGATGTGTCCCCAGCTTTGGTCCGGCTCATGCCCTGCACCAAGCCTGTGGGTGACATCCTGTAACTTTGTTTTGGAGTGATTGAACTTGACCCATTGGGATGCAATCCAGGATCCCTAGAAGCAAACACAGTAGACTGTTACTGTGTGGCAGGTGTTTCATTGACCTCCTGACATCAAGAGGTATGTGTGATTCAACAATAAAAAAATAAGTGCTTTAAAAAAGAATTTACCAGCCGGGCATGATGGCTCATGCCTGTAATCCCAGCACTTTGGGAGGCCAAGGTGGGTGCATCACTTAAGTTCAGGAGTTTGAGGCCAGCCTGGCCAATATGGTGAAACCCCATCTCTACTAAAAATACCAAAATTAGCCGGGCGTGGGGGTGCACGCCTGTAATCCCAGCTACTTGGGAGGCTGAGGCAGGAGAATCGCTTGAACCCGGGAGGCAGAGGTTGCAGCGAGCTGAGATTGCACCACTGCACTCCAGCATGGGTGACAGAGTGAGACTCTATCTCTAAATAAATAAATAGGATTTACCACCAGAGAAAAGTTCATGGTCATATTTACTACGGTCATCATACTCAGTGTGTGGCTGTGTTAGTAAAAATGCAATTAACTTCTAACCATTAATGTTTCAGGCTTTAGTGTATGAGCATCCTGGACAGGAATTAGAGATTGAGCTCTTTGATGAAGACCCAGACAAGGATGACTTTTTAGGAAGGTAAACAAAACCCTGGGTGGTTATTGGAGGAGGGCCTAGGGTCAGTCTTGTTTTATTTTGTTTTTTAATAATCAAAAATATGTTTTAAAATATGTTTGTATACTTGTTATGTGTTAAATGGTTCTTAGATATAACAATTGTTTCACCTTAGATTTCTTAAAACATTTTTATTCCTGTGTTTCACATTTAAGAGAAGAGAATCTTCTAGATCTGTGCTGACCATTACTGCAGCCACTAGCCTTCATTAAAGTTAGATTAAAAACTCTTTCTGAGTGGCACTCTCTTTGTTTTTTTTTTTTTACTCTCTTTGTTTACAAGGTTTAATAGCTGCATGCAGAACCTGCCCCCCTACTGAGTTCTAGTGGACACTTGTATTCCAGATTGCAGCAATGGGTTTTTCAAGTTTTTTGAGTTGCTGGATTAATTTTTGTCAGGATATAGTAATTTACATTGGGAAAATAAATATTGATTTGTTCACTTCAATTGAACAACTAGTATAGTTTTAAAAATAAGCTTTTAAAAAGGTTATTTTTTGATCAGCATTTATTAATGATGTCAGTTATTTCTAATGTATTTAACCTAATTAAGTTATTATTTGATTGAATTTATTGTAATAAGATGTAGAGATTGAACACGTTGGAGAGGTTCATACCTCATCAAGAATGGCCTTGCCTGCTGTGGCCTGACTTCAGAGTTTTGTAGGATTTCCTGGGACAACTAGGAACAATTGAGAGATTTTAAGCCAGACAGTGATAGATCAGCTGCTCATTCTAGAAAAATTGGTGCGTGGATTGGGTTGTTGGGGGCTGAGCTTGGAGACTGGCAGACCAAATAGGAGAGCATGTCCTAGACCAGGACCAAGAGAAGGTGGTGTAGACGTACACTGTCGGGCGGAAGAGGCTACAAGAAAAAGTGGGAGTATGATCATCCCATCTAGTCGTATCTGGCGTCTGGGGATGGTGCCAGTCTTAGAAGTAGAGGAGGTTTAGGGAACTGAAACAGGTGTCTTCTCAGACTTGCCAAGTGAGGGCTTCCATTAGGCTTGAGGCAGTACGGGTCTAGAGCCTGGGAGCAAGGACCAGAGCAGGTGAGATCAGCATTCACTGTGAGTGATGGAGTCCATAGCAACATGCAACCCTACCAAGAGGACGTATAAAATAAGAGGGTCGAGATGCTTTTAAACATTTTATGATGCGTATAACACTGTAGGGAAAATGAGTTTTTGTTTTTTACAGCTCTGACCTCAACCGGGCCAAACTCAGTATTCTGAGCTCGCAGAAACTCCACCTCACTCTCCTTTACTCTCCTGACACTGGGGGTGAGCTGGAGGAAACTTGTGCAAGAATAGTCTGTTCCTTGATAAATTACTAGCATTTTGTTGCATTTTTGGAGTGCTTGCTCATAGACAAATAAATTCTTAAGGTTTTTTTCAAGAAGAAATGTGTTTCAATGTTCTAAAGTTGTTTCAGTAAGAAATGTGTTTGTATGTTCTAAAGTTGTTGTATTATTATTTTTATAGTCTTATGATTGATCTTATTGAAGTTGAAAAGGAACGCCTTTTAGATGAAGTAAGTTTCCCTGGAGTGTTGGTCTATTTATAATTGTTTGCTGGGCACTGTGGCTCAAGCCTGTAATCCCAGCACTTTGGGAGGCCGAGGCAAGCGGATCATGACGTCAAGAGATCGAGACCGTCCTGGCCAACATGGTGAAACCCTGTCTCTACTAAAAATACAAAAAAAAAATTAGCTGGGCTTGGTGGTGTGCGCCTGTAGTCCCAGCTGCTGGGGAGGCTGAGGCAGGAGAATTGCTTGAACCCGGGAGACGGAGGTTGCAGTATGCCAAGATTGTGCCACTGCACTCCAGCCTGGTGCCTGGCAACAGAGTGAGACTCTGTCTCAAAAAAAAAAAAAAAATACAGTTATTGAGTAAGTCCCTGCCCTGTGCTGGAGAAGCCACGAACCACCTCTTCAGCATTACACAGTGTAGGAATGCTAATTCATATGACATGAGCAGCATTTTCTTTACAAACACTAAGACTTTAGACCTTTTAGAAATAGCAAATGAAAAGATAAATTTAAGCGTCCAATCAGGTGTGTGTTGAGTACCCACCATATGCTTGGAATTCTTACTGATGTGAAGCATAAACTGACTTTATTGCAGACGAACCTGTGATCCCCTGCAGGAGTTAGGGCAGGGCTGTGCGAGATGCCCCCTAGCGATGGAGATTTTCAGATGGTTGAAGAGAACAGTGGAGAAGGCACAGTGTGGTCAGTGAGGCGTCTCATGGGAGAGACGCCTATAGAGATGGTGGAAATTCACGGCAAGGAGACTCAACTTCCACCTTTTATTGCTATCAGAATAGAAAGTATCAAAAAGGAAACGTTTGTGGTGGGCTCTAAAAGATGGGAAAGATTTAGGTAAATGAAGCAAAATTAAACCAAAGTGTTAATTTCTGCCGCTTTCATAATCACGTTTCCCTCCCTTGAGTGTTCAGCATTCATTGGCCGTGATATCTCCTTGCCTTGGGGGTGCCAGGCACTGAGTGGATAGTCCTGCTCATGACTTCTATCACTTAGCATTTGAGGAGCATCTTTGATTAATTATTTCGTGGCTTTTAAGCTGATACAACTGTATACTATTTTATTAATTAGTATATAGTGATGAATTCGAACAAACAGATTATTTGATACTGAAATTCAGTGTTTGGAATCATTATTGTGTTATCTCTTGTCCTGTACGTTCCATTAAAGGCCATTTGGTGGGGCATGCTTGCCCACACCTGTGGTTCTAGCTGCTGGGAAGGTTGAGGCAGGAGGATCAGTTAAGCCCAGCCTGGGCAACATGGCAAGACCACCATCTCAAAAAAAAGAAGTCCATTCCTAGAAGACTTTTCTGTCTCTAGGTATTGCTAGAAAACATTTGAGTTCTTATGTGTAAAGTAGGGATAATGCTAGTACTTGCTTAGGGTTTCCTGTGGGGTCGAGGGCTTGGTGCATGTAATGGTCTGCTCACCCCTGCCACTGTCATTGTCTCCAAACGTGAGGTCACAGGCGTCTGAGCGTAGAGCTGGATATGGTGAGGCTCAGTCTTCATGTCACTGAGAACTGTTGATGCCTCACGGTTGGTGAATAGCATGTAGCATTTGTAGAGACTGGGTTGAATTTGGATTTTTGACTCAGAAGAACTTTTGCTGAACTTAAGCATTTTCTCTTCAGTGGTTCACTCTGGACGAGGTTCCCAAGGGGAAGCTGCACTTGAGACTGGAGTGGCTCACGCTGATGCCAAATGCATCCAACCTCGATAAGGTGCTGTGAAGGGTTTTCTCTTGAAAACTGCTTAACCAACTACGTGCCATTAACGGACATTGGTCTCTTTAAGTTGTGTTGCTACTTTATTTTTTAACAATTATAACAGTAATTTTCATTATTGTGTAATAATTCACTACAGTAGCATCAGGGATAAATTAAAGATAATGGAATTTTTTTTAAGATAATGGAATTTTTTAAATGAAATTTTATAGGTCATTCATACCTGTTTTATGAGATCTTCAATATTGTGCTTGTTATAGTACAGGGATTTGTAGAGCCAGAAATCACCTGAGTGCTTAATTTAATTGATTTATATTGTTTTAGTTCTATCTCTATTGCATGGATCAGATGGTTCCTCACATTTCTTATTTTTAATGTAATCAATATTCTATAATCAGATAGAAATCATCTTTGATCCTGTGGAAACATGGCTGCTAAGGCTTTTTTCCTTTCCCTTTAGGTGCTAACCGACATCAAAGCTGACAAAGACCAAGCCAATGATGGTCTTTCTTCTGCATTGCTGATCTTGTACTTGGATTCAGCAAGGAACCTTCCGGTAGGTAACACAGTGGTAACACATTTGGGTGCTTACTTCCTAGCAGCTGCTCTTGCTCATAACCACTGCTTTTTGCAGCACTCTGCGTCACCTGTTCTCGTCTTGTGTTTTCGCTTCACATCCTTTCACGTCCTAGTGCGAGAGAGTGGCAGCGAAGAAGAGGGAGTTAGTGTTTGCTCTGGGAGTGCATATATTTACATTTACATGTTTAGTTGGATTTATCAAGTACATAGGAAAAGAAGATGACTAGTGGTTAGAAGATAACTCTCTAGAAAATCACTAAGTATTAAAACTTAGTTGCCTTAGGATGGAAATTGTCTCTATTTGAAATGGGAATAAAATGAAGCAGCTCTGATTACAAACTCCAGACTCATCCTGGGTATCACAGGGCTGTGCATGAGCTACTGGGCCTTGGTGATCCCCAGGATGTCAGGTGGCAGAGTGGTGCTGCTGCAGGAGCCTGCGGCCTCTGGGTGCCTGGGATGTTTCTACAGAACAAAAGGAAACCTTGTTTTGGAATGATCTGCCAAGTACAAGACACTCTGCCTAAAAGCATATACTTTTGCTTGTATCAGAATTGTTTCATTCTTAGAGAAAAACTGTAAAATACTGTTTAATAGGTAATGACTGTAACCACAGAGAAGGAAAATCTTACTAATTCAGTGTTGTGAGGCGTAGTGTGACCTCCCGCCACCCTACCTTAAACCCCACTACTGTGGGCAGTGGTGTCCGCCTTCGTCATGTCTTCTTGTTGGATGATTCTTTGGAGTGCCTATGCACTTGCTGACTAGACACTCAGTCTTTTATTTCATCATGTCCACGGCTGTTTTTGTTGAAGGAAAGACTGCTGCCACTGATGCAGAAGTTTCTTTGTCCACTGCATAATTCTTCCTCCACAGTAAATACACATCCATCCAAGTGCATTTGTAAATAAATCATCTTCCTGTGTTTTTCGTCCCTTTGTCAGTGTTTACCAGGGAAATAGACAAGAAGGCAAAGAAGCGTTTAACTCGCTTCTCAACACACATTCTGGACCTAAGTTATGGCCTTTCATCCCTACGTAGTCTTGCCTTGCCACGGTCAGACTGCACTTCACAGTTCACGCGATGCACACCCTTAGCTTCCTCCAGCACCTTCCACATTCTGAAAACTGTGTTTCCGTGAGCTTTGCCCAGAAATGAAGTAAATATTTGTGCATCAGTGCATTTTATTTAAGATGTGATTGATCACTTACTTACATTAATACTGGGAGGATGTGATTGTACTCTTTGTTGTATGTAATTGTGTATATTGGCACTGTTTATTTCAATGAAGCTTTCTTGACTGATTTTAACTTCTTAAATTCTTACATTTCTCTTAAAGTATTTACCTTAGCCTTTGACCAGTCTTTCAGTCTAAAGTCTATGACTTTATTTGTTACAATTTCAATCTGGAAAAAGTTATTTCATTAAGTATTTCATCTTTCCATAGAATTTCTATACAGTAGAATGTTTCACTTTTAGCCACAGTAATGTTTGTTAAAAAGTCTTCCATAATGCCGGATGGAAGTGAATTTGTTTTCTGTTTTAGGGTAGAGAGAATAGTATCAGTGAATTAGATACAAAGGATTAGGCCTCTTTAGAACTGTGTGTTTTGCCACATTAAATTGAAGTTTGAATAATGTCACATAAGAAAAAAAAAAACACGAAGAGAATGTGTTGATCTTCTGTTAAAAGGGCACTTTGTGCATGGAATGTTCTGTGGCCGTCAGAGGCAAAGGATCTTTGCAGAGCGTGCCGGGCACTGGATTAAGGGGCATCCCTGCGAGCTGCGGGATCCTTTGGCTCTGCCTCTGCACTGTTTGTGGTGCTCCTGGTGTTCTCATTGACCACAATCCACCGTTCTCTGCTTTCTCCCCCGGCTCCACTGCCCTAAGAGCATCTACGAGGGAAACTTTGGGTGTGGCTACTTAAAAGAGAGGCGAGCATCGGGACTAGTGTTTTGTGAAAATACCACCTCAGTCTATAGAGCACTATTTGTGAGTCCTCCCGGGTTCTTTCTTCCTTTGTCTGTTTGGAGACTGCCAGAATGTGGACTGGAACTTCTAACGCAGCTGGCTGGCGGTGGACTGATGTCGCATGCTTTTATTTTCTTGCATGATTTTAATTATTGTGTGTTTATTTTGTGCTTGTTTTGTGAAATGTAACACTGTTGTAACATTGGCGAGAACATCTGACTATGAGATGAACAACCCTAGCCAGTGGAGAAACAGCCTTAAGTTCCTAAACTGCTACTGGCTCATTAAAAAAAAAGCTCTTCTGAGGAGGAAATGAAGCCATGATTACAGTTCATTTTCTTGTGGCTCATCTCAATGTGAGATGTAAATTTTTTGGTAAACGTTCTCAAAACTTTTTAAAAAACTACTATTCCTTCCTTTTTTTTTTTTTTTTTTTTTGAGATGGAGGTTTGCTCTTCTTGCCCAGGCTGGAGTGCGATGGTGTGGTCTATGCTAACTGCAACCTCTGCCTCCCAGGTTCAAGCGATTCTCCTGGCTCAGCCTCCCAAGTGGCTGGGATTATAGGCACCTGCCACCATGCCCAGCTAATTTTTGTATTTTTAGTCGAAACAGAGTTTCACCATGTTGGCCAGGCTGGTCTCAAACTCCTGACCTCATGCAGTCTGCCCGCCTCAGCATCCCAAAGTGCTGGGACTACAGTTGTGAGCCATCACACCTGGCCTACTATCCCCTCCTGACCAAACACGGAAGTGTCAGAACTAGGGCTTTCTTTGAAAACCCTACTGTCAGTCACTTGGGGAATGGTCATGAGAAGACAGAAATTCACTCATTTTTTAATAAAAATTTGCCTTCCCTCACAGGGTTTACCTGGAGCTTCTAAGGAAGAAGAAAACTATATTAAGTTTGCGATTCGCTTTCTTTTAAGACACATAAAGAACGTCCTGGAGTGGATAATTGAGCATATCTTTGTTCCCATCTCATTAGATGTTGCCTGTGGTCTGTATGTCTGGCACCTGACTCCTGTGCTGTTCTTGGTGACTTCACTTCGATAGAGAGCCATTTTCACTTGCTTCAGGGTCACAGGGGCCAGCAGCGTCTTAGTCATTAGCCTAGAAAGTGACTTTGCATACTTCATCCAGTAGTCAGTGAGATTCCTACCGCCCAGTTGTCCCAGTTGTCCCTTTGTAGAGTAGCGATAGTGCTTTGCATTTTTGTAGAGTTTTCATTTCTGTTTCCAAAGGATTTCCCTTTGCATTCTCAGTTTATTCTTATTTTTTTAAAGTGGGGGGGGAGGGGGCAAAACTTGAAGAGCAAATACTTTGCCGTATCTTACAGATGAGGAAAATTAAGACCCTGAAGGGCTAGATGAGCTGTTCAGAGTCACACCAATAATAAGTGGTAACCATGATCTCTCTCTGACTATCTACTCATATATGTCTAAGGCCTTTTAAAAAGTCAGAATGAGGTCAGTGCTGCATATGGCAGCACATTGTTACTTTTAAGAAAATAATTTTCTGCTTCTGGTAATTGTTAGCAGTAAATTTCATCATAGACTAGTATAAATGTGACAATATCATTCCACTGTGTAAATTGTTAGTTTGTCTCCAATAGCTTTTCCAAGTTGCTTTTTCCCATTCTACAACTGCCTTTTGCAGAAAGGAAATATCTCCGAACTTGGATCAGGAAGGTGACCAAAATTAGCTTTCCTGTGGCATTATCAAAGTCACCTGCTATGCTTCATTATTAGAACATATGCATCCCCTAAGATGTTCTGTAAAATAAATTCAAACTTTTTTTCCCACCCATTGGTTTTCAACATGATGTCAGATCAGTGCTTCCTCCTTTTCCACAGAAGGGGGAGACCATTTTGCTGTCACTGGTAAGGCTTTGACAGCTGGCAACCCAATGCTCTCTTACTTCCTGCCACTCAAAATCACCTTTAATTCCAGTTCCAGAAGTGCATTACCACCAGCATTCCCCATCTCCAAACTTAAGACAACAGGAATTTCTCCTAGGCTGGAAACGACCACTTCATCCTGTGGACTCTTAGAACTTTGCCCTCCTTCTTTTGATCAAATCCTGGGCTTTAATTTCAGGCTTTAACAAGAAGGACTTTCTCTGACTTGTGATGGCTGGCTTCGGCATCTTAAGCTTGATATGACAGCATGCTTAATAAGCACGTTCCAGGAGCCAGGCAGGGGTCTCAGGGTGCCACATGTTTAATCTCCAGACCGTCATTATCACTTTACAGATAAGGAAATTCAGACAGCACTAAGAACCCAGATGATGCAGACTAGAGATTCCCAGGCACAGGGTTATGGCAGAGCTGGGATTGGAACTCAGCGTGGGCCCAGAGTCTGGGTGCTTGGTACCTCCTGTCCACTCCACCCTAGTACAAAGCAAATTTATTGTCATTTTATTAAGTTTATAGATTAATAAGTCTGTATGTGGAATTCATCTGAGGTGAATAGTATTTGCACTAATGCCTTAAACATAGCAGTGCTAGCTGGATAATAGTCACCACTGTGGAGGGCCTTGGGCCTGTTGATGCTAGGTGTCTTGTGAGAGTTATTTTGGCTGTCATTAAAAAAAAAAAAGACTAGGTCAGTGGCTCACTCCTGTAATCCCAGCACTTTGGGAGGCCCAGGTGGGCGGATCATGAGGCCAGGAGATTGAGACCATCCTGGCCAACATGGTGAAACCCCGTCTCTACTGAAAAATATATATTAAAAATCAGCCAGGCATGGTGGCGCATGTCTGTAGTTCTAGCTCTTCCAGAGGCTGAGGTGGGGAATTGCTTGAACCCGAGGTTGCAGTGAGCCAAGATCATGCCACTGCACTCCAGCCTGGTGACAGAGCAAGACTCCATCTAAAATAAGTAAATAAATAAATAAATAAATAAGAAACCACACTCCAGCCTGGTGACAGAGCAAGACTCCATCTAAAATAAATAAATAAATAAAGAAACCACAGGTGGCTACCACTGTCTGTTGATGGCGAGTAACCCAAGGCCACAAGACATGTAACTCCAGAGGCCTCCCGACAGGGCAGCTGCCTGAAGCACTTGCATAGTCTGGTATGTCTCATTCCCAGAGCCACACAGCTGTCCACGCCTTATACAGCTTCTTCTGCAAACACTACCCACACACCACAGCCTCTCTCTTTGTTCTACTTCAGTTGATGCATGTTAGAATAAGTGTCTTCGGTACAGGCCATATCTATCCAAAAGTGAGCCTCAGGAAGGGTTCTTAGGATATCTGAAGAATGTCAGTCTGCGAATTTCAGGGCAGCAGAGTTCCCACCCTCACTGTATATGAGCACCTGGGAAGTTGTGTGAAGAATGCCCTTGTCCAGGCTCCACCCAGAGATGGACGCAGTGGATCCAGGGACCTTTGAGAGCTCCACCGACAGCTTTAGGTCATGTTGAATTCCGGCCTGCCAGTCATGAAAGATTGAGAGGCAAATTATTAATCTTTCATCATTATAAAATCTTCTGTTTAGTAAAAAAAAAAAAAAACAGGCCAGGCGCGGTGGTTCACACCTATAATCCCAGCACTTTAGGAGGCCAAGGAGGGTGGATCATGAGGTCAAGAGATCGAGACCATCCCGGTCAACAAGGTGAAACCCCGTCTCTACTAAAAATACAAAAATTAGCTGGGCATGGTGGTGCACGCCTGTAGTCCCAGCTACTCGGGAGGCTAAGGCAGGAGAATTGCTTGAACCCAGAAGGCGGAGGTTGCGGTGAGCCAAGATTGCACCATTGCACTCCAGCCTGGGTAACGAGCGAAACTCGTTAAAAAGAAAACCCAAAAAACAAAAAAAAACAGCTCAGCTTGTCACAAGTTTGAAGTTAATTACAACTAAAATGATAAATTATTTAATCTCGAATACTAGTCCTAGAAGGAGCTTGCAAAACAACTCAGTCTTGCCCTTTTGAGGGCAAGAAACGAATGAATTGGAAAAAAAATCAATAAAAGTAAACATAAAACCCATAATCATAAGACTGTATTTAGAGCCTGAGAAGCTTCTGCAAGGATCCAGCCAGCCTGACTCCTATCCCTGAAAAGGACTCTGGGTGTTGGGTGGGAAGGTGCGTCTCAGCGGTTTTTCTAGGACCTGACCTTGAGAGTGACTTGGACGGCTGTGGGCCATTGATTGTACTTCAGATAAAACCTTTAATAATGATGGGTATTTTAGGGGTTTATTCAGTCAAAGAGTAGTAAATAGAACCCTTTCCTAAAGTCTCACTCTTATATTTTTAAAACCACAAAGGATCAGGAGGGTGGGGGTAGTAAAAGATTTTTAGTCATAGAGGAAAAGGAGGTGTCTTGGTATTTATCGATTAAAGGTTCATTCTAAGAGAAAGTCTTGTGCATAAAGAATCTTGTAGGTGGCTTTTTGGTTGTTTGTGTAATTCTTGGTGGTTTTGTTTAAAGATTTTTCTTTGTTTATTCCCATAAATTGTCATGTCTTTAACCTTACATAAACTTCATTGCATGTTTTATTAACCCTTGGCATATTCATTTTCTTCTGACTTGAAAGAGTAACCCATTAGAATTTAACCCCGATGTCTTGAAGAAGACTGCAGTTCAGAGAGCTTTAAAGGTAAACTAATAGTTTTCCCTTCAGGTTACAAAGTTAATTAAAACATATTGAAAGAGATGATACTTTGTCTCATAAGTTTATTGGCAAATTACCTCCTATATTAATATAGTAATTAATTGTCTAGTAGAAGAGATCCTATATTTGTTATCAAATAATGAGTAGTTAGAACAATTTAAGCCCACTTTGAAGGTAAATTTAATAAAGTACTAATATGATAAATTATTTTCCTGTTGGCCTTAGCTAACTCTCTCTAAGGTGATTTAAATATGTCTATTTTAATTGGGTTTGAATTTGGGAAAATTTTGATATAGAAGTTCTATTTAAAATCTTAACTGATATTTAGATCATGACTTAATGGTATGCCTTGTGAACTGTGAATATACATTTAAATATCACCTCTTCCAATATATTGAGTTAGGGTCATCTCTGAGTCAACAACTTCATGGCTTTTGGTGCTGTGGGTTGGGTGATAGATCTCTTGAGAGGCTTTAAAGTTCATTAAATGAGGTCTATTGAAAACTAAGCTCCACTCCCTAAAATATGACATTTGCATGTGTTCTCTGGTAAATTGTTAAAAGTTTTCATATGAGTTAATGTTTTATTATTTTTTTCTCTAATTTCTTTGAACATTTTAGGCTTAAATTTGGGGGTGGGGGAGGTGGGGAATTTTTAATGTAATTATTTAAAGGAAGTTTTATCCCAAAGAAGTAGGAATCATTTTAAACCAGTTTCATCTGGCAAAATGAGTTAGACTTCAGAAGTGCAGGAGACTGGCAGAGTCTGCTTTTTAGTGGGTGTTTGCGAACCCTCACTTCATCCTGTGCCAGGGAAATAAGATCTGGGTTACTAGGGCTTCCTCCTGTGGAGTACCAGTTAGCACAGTAGTGGAAATAACTGTGCCCTCCAGAACACTGAAAGGAATTACCTCACCACTCTTTGCTACCTGAAGGTTATTGACCAAGAGAACATAACATTAAGGCCGAAGGGCCTGAAATCAGACTGGATTTGAATTGCAGCCCAACTACTCACCAAGCAATGTGACCTCCAACAAGATACTTAATCCACTCTGTTGTGTTATTTATGGAATGGAAGGAGTATCTTCTTCATGGAATTATTGAACACATTAAATAAAGACTGTAATTGTCATATTATTACATTAGCTCATTTGTAAATATGCATGAGGCTCAAATAGAGGCAATAGTTAGGTCTCAGTAATCAAGTGATAAATAGAGCTGAGGTTTAAGTTCAAGACAGTCTGACATGTACTTATATTTTCATTATACTTTGTGCATTTGAGTTGTACTGATGTATTTTGAATATTGCATCATGGTAGAAAACTTAATAATTTAACCTTATTTTATAGAATTGAAAACATTCATTTTAAGATGTACCATTATTTTATGAACCACTAAGAAAAATTTTTTAAATGTCATTAAGTTTTGACAGTGTTTATTTTATACATAGAGAATTTTAGACTTCGGATAAACGGAGTTTTATCATGTCACTGACAGGTATACGTAAACAGAAAATATAGGCAAAATAAATCAGTTAGGGCAGTGACAACTCTCACTACTGCCAGCCTCCCCCAAAAACGTATACATTATCATCAATTTAAGTTTCATTCTGTTTTTAGGGATGTTAGAAAGTTGGGAAAAAAAGTATATATTTTTAAATTGACGGCCAGACACGGTGGGTCACACCTGTAGTCCCAGCGCTTTGAGAGGCTGAGACAGGCAGATCATTTGAGGTCAGGAGTTCCAGACCAGCCTGGCCAACATGGTGAAACCCCATCTCTACTGAAAATTAGCTGGCATGGTGGTGGGTGCCTGTAATCCCAGCTACTTGGGAGGCCAAGGCAGGAGAATCACTTGAACCCGGGAGTGATCTTGCAGTGAGCCAAGATAACACCACTGCACTCTGGCCTGGACAACAAGAGTGAAGAAACTGTCTCAAAAAAAAAAAAAAATTTGATAAGATGCAGTCAGTCTAAATGAGTGGCTACTTTTTCAGAGATGAAGTGTTTATATTAGTTAAGAAGCAAGCTCAGCTTCTGTATCTGTAATAATAGAACTGATTTACCAGTAGCAGTAGTTGATCTCCCTCTAAATTCAGGGAGTTTTGGCCTGGGGCTCTGCCATGAGCTACCTGTGGCTCTAGCCCAAGGGGGACACAGCCTCCTATGAGGCCAGAACTTAATTACTTGGCTGGGCCTGACTCCAAGGGAGGTTTGCAAACAAACCCTTTATTTACAGAGGACTTGTGCACAGCTAAAACGTGGGAATTCTAATATTAAAGGAAAAGGGAGAAAATTAACTTAGGAGGAAATTAGTATTCTCTTCCACAGTAATCTGTAACCTTGGAAACTTTTTCAACAGTATTTATTTTATTTTGCAGAATTCATTCACATCAGAAAGATGGACCAGAAAATAAATTATCCCAATAGGTTTGAGCTAGTAATTTTTTTTTCCAATAATGATAGGATTTTGACACCTATTTCTGTCATTGCTGTAGTGTTGAGGCTTCACTCTAAAATTATTTAACTCAAAAATGTTTTTGTGACCTTTTAATTAATTCCACTAACACAGATATTTAACTGCATTTTTCTTGTGGGGCTAAGTTATAAATAAACCTCATGTCACACGTATGTGCTGTTTTACTCTTCTCCTATCAACTCTCTGTGCTAATGTATACTTCTTACCATTTTTCCTTTTCCTGAATTTTCCTTCATATTTATATCTGCTTAATTTTTTGTGATTCTAAACTGATGTTTATTCTTCCAGTCAAAATTATTTAGCAGCTGGTAAGCAAGATTTGATATCTGAAAGCTTAAAAATGCTCGAACAAAAGACACTAAGACCATAAAACTATATCTGACACTCTACTATTTTTATTCCAACCAGAGAAATAATCTGAATTTTAAATTCTTTTACATTCGTCCTTTCTTGTGGTTTTTTATTTCCATTAATTGTACTTTATTCATTTTTATTATCTTCATAAGTAAAAGAACTTTCAAAAACTGTGATTAACATTAAGAATTTTTAGAGGCCGGGTGCGGTGGCTCACGCCTATAATCCCAGCACTTTGGGAGGCCGAGGCGGGTGGATCACAAGGTCAAGAGATCGAGACCATCCTGGTCAACAAGGTGAAACCCCGTCTCTACTAAAAAAAATACAAAAATTAGCCGGGCATGGTGGTGTGCGCCTGTGGTCCCAGCTACTCGGGAGGCTGAGGCAGGAGAATTGCTTGAACCCAGGAGGCCTGGAGGTTGCGGTGAGCCGAGATTGTGCCATTGCACTCCAGTCTGGGTAACAACAGCGAAACTTCATCTCAAAAAAAAAAAAAAAAAAGCATTTTTAGAAAATTCAGTTTTCCAAAGTAGTTTACTTTAAAAATACAAGACCCTAACCTTTAAATTTTGTGTGCATATGAACGTTTTTCTTAATTTATTTCATGGCAGATGTAGTTATGGTTTGGGATGTGGGTAGCATATGTTTTCCCGTTACATTGTTCCCAGAAGTATCAGAGATAAAATAAAAATAGCTACTAATATAAGCCAATAATTTTGTTTTTGGTTAAGACCCACTTCAAAATGTGTCTGTTTATTTTGTCTGTTTTCTGTTTGTTTTGGGTAGTCGGGGAAGAAAATAAGCAGCAACCCAAATCCTCTTGTCCAGATGTCAGTTGGGCACAAGGCCCAGGAAAGCAAGGTAAGGTGCCGGCCGGCCTCCGCACTCAGCCTCAGTGCTTGTCATGTGGGCTCTGTCTGTGTTGCCATCTCACGTGGGGCTCCAGGTTGCAGAACACATTCAGTTGTGTGATAGCATGGGCATCGAGATAATGGCTTTTCAGATCTTTTCTTTTTTTCTTAAATCAGTCATTTGATAGATAACCAGCTACTTGATTTAGTAAGATATATACTGTTCATTTTAAAAAATAACTTAGCGGCTAGGTGTGGTGGCTCACACCTGTAATCCCAGCACCTTGGGAGACCGAGGTTGGTGGATCACTTGAGGTCAGGAATTCAAGACCAGTCCGGTCAATATGGTGAAACCCCATCTCTACTAAAAATACAAAAATTAACCAGGCATGGTGGCAGGCACCTGTAGTCCCAGCTACTTGGGAGGCCGAGGCAGGAGAATCACTTAAACTCAGAGGCAGAGATTGCAGTGAGCTGAGATTGCGCCACTGCACTCCAGCCTGGGCAACAGAGCGAGGCTCCGTCTCAAAAAACAAAACAAAAATAACATTACAAAATAATAGATGAATATGCAGTTGCTTGGTTTTATGAGTAGACACATGGGAACAAATCCTAAGTTTGTCTTGAGCATTCTATAAATATTTGAAAGATAACCAACAGTGCTTAAAATTCAACCAGTACAGTTAAAATCAAGACTTGAAAAGAGAGTATTGCGATTGCTGTCATATGTTCTACTTTCCTTACTGGAGAAAGAATGTTTTAGAAATTACCCAACGCTTTAGGCCGTCACTCACTTGGAAGTGTTACCAGTTGAAGAGACATTCCCGGGTGCAGCACCCTCCTCAGTTTGGAGGAACTGTCACATTGGTGCAAATGTAATTGCAGAACCGAGGCCAGGCCACACACTCAAAGCCGGTATCAGTGGACACACAGGTTGGGGCCTCGTAACACACTCCAAAGCCTTTAGACTGTCTCTTCATCTTTTGAACACTTGCACAATCAATAGTTAATAGTGCATACCAGCAAATACGTGTCTTGGAATTTAAAGTCATCCTGAGCTTCTAGTTTGTTGTTTTGTCTTCCTTTTGTTTATTTTTCATCCTAAGCTTCTAAACACATTAAATGAGTAGCCCTTTCCACAGAAAATATCACAGAGCTGATAACTGGATATTTCTTCCAGATTCGATACAAAACCAATGAACCTGTGTGGGAAGAAAACTTCACTTTCTTCATTCACAATCCCAAGCGCCAGGACCTTGACGTTGAGGTATTTTATTTGCATTTTTTTAAACGAATCTGTTGAGATTTAATTGACTGTTTAAAGTGTACAATTTGCCAAGTCGTGACCCCTGTATACACCTGGAAATCCATCACCACAATCAAGAGAATTAGTAGACTGTCCCCCAAGCTCCCTTGTTCTCTCTGTAACCCAGACCTCCTCCATCCCCAGGCAAACACAGACCTGCCCTGCGTCACTGTAGATTACTATTCATGTTCTCCAGAATTTTATATAAATAGACTTACACGGTATATACTCTTGTTGTCTGTATTCTCTCCTGATAATCATTTGGAGGTTTACCTCTGTTGTTGCAGATATCCACAGTTTGCCTTTTTTTATTGCTGAGTAGTATTTATGGAAATACCACAATTTGTTCATCCATTCACCTGTGAATAAGACATGGATAAAAGATTGGATTCTTTCCAGTTTAGACCTGTTACAGATAAATCTGCTCTGAATATCACATACAAGACTGTGTTTATATATGCCTTCATTCTCTTGTGTAAAATACCCAGGAGCAGAAAGCCAGGTTCATGTTTAGCTTCTTAATAAACTGCCAAATTGTTTTCCAAAGAGATCGTGCCACGTTACATTCCCTTCAAAGGGAATGTGAGTTGAGCTGGCTCCACGTCTTGCTAGTGCTGTGTTGTTGGTGGGTAGATAGGAGTATTTCCTGGAGATTGGTGGTTTCAGTATCATTACTAATGACGATGAGCATCTTTTTATGTTTGTTTGCAGTCTGTGTATCTTCTGTGGTGAAATGTCTATTCAGTTTTTTTGCCTGTCCTTGTTATTAGGTTATTTGTCTTCTTAATACTGAATTTGTAAGACTTTTTGTCTTTTTTTTCCTTTTTTTTAATTTTTAATTTTTATTCTTTTTGAGACAGAGTCTCTGTCACCCAGGCTGGAGTGCAGTGCTACAGTCTTGGTCACTGCAGCTCCACCACGCCTGGCTAATTTTTGTATTTTTAGTGGAAATGGGGTTTTGTCATGTTAGCCAGGCTGGTCTTGAACTCCTCTGCTCAAATGATCCGCCCACCTTGGCCTCCCAATTATAGGTGTGAGCCATCGTGCCCCGCCTCTTTGTTTTTGTGACAGGGTTTCACTCTGTTACCCAGGCTGGAGTGTGGTGGCATAATCACAAATCACTGAAGCCTCAACCTCCCAGGCTCAAGCAATCCACCCACCCTGGCCTCCAGAGTACCTGGGACTACAGGCAGGCACCACAATGCCTGGCTAATTTTTTTTATTTTTTGTAGAGGTGGAGTCTCACTGTGTTGCTCAGACTGTTCTCAAACTCCTGGGTCCAAGTGGCTCCTGTTTCAGCTTCCCAAAATGCTGGGATTATGGTTGTAAGCCACTGTGCCCAGCCTCTTTTTCATATATATGGCTGTGTAGCTGTTCAGCAGTTGTGCAGTTGTTTAATCTTTGTTAAAAAGATTATTCTTGGCTCTCATTTATTAGCTTAGCAACTTTCCAGAAGTTCAGTTGCCCATATGTGTGGGTATATTTCTGGAATTCCTTCTTTTCTGTTGTTCTATCTGCCTGTCTTTATGCCAGTATCAACACTGTCTTTATTATCAGTGCTTATAAATCAATCTTTATTTTTTTTTATTTTTTATTTTTTTTGAGGCAGGGTCTCACTTTGTCACCCAGGCTGGAGTGCAGTGGTGCAATCATGGCTCACTACAGCCTTGCCCTCTTGGGCTCAAGCAATTCTCACACCTCAGCATCCCAATGTAGTGCCAGTGGCTGTGTTTTGGGGTGTGTGTGTGTGTGTGTGTGTGTGTGAAGACGGGGTTTCACCACATTGCCCAGGCTGGTCTCGAACTCCTGAGCTCAAGCCACCCTCCCACCTTGGCCTCCCAAAGTGCTGGGATTGTAGGTGTAAGGCATCGTTCCTGGACTGTCTTCTCTCTTTTTCTTCCTGATAATTCTTTTTTTTTTTTTTTTGAGACAGAGTTTTGCTCTTGTTACCCAGACTGGAGTACAATGGCACGATCTCAGCTCACCGCAACCTCCGCCTTCTGGGTTCAAGCAATTCTTCTGCCTCAGCCTCCCAAGTAGCTGGGACTACAGGTGCGCACCACCATGCCCAGCTAATTTTTGTATTTTTAGTAGAGACGGGGTTTCACCTTGTTGACCAGGATGGTCTCAATCTCTTGACCTCGTGATCCACCTGCCTCGGCCTCCCAAAGTGCTGGGATTATAGGCGTGAGCCACCGCGCCCGGCCTTCTTCCTGATAATTCTTATAAGATGTTTATTGATTTTATTTTCTCAAGGAACCAATTTTTTGTTTAATTATCATTATTGCTTTTCTTTTACTGTTTCATTGATTTCTACTAGGACCATTATTTCAATACCAATTACTTTCGGGTCTTATTTGTTTCTCTTTTCCTAGTTTCTTAAGAGGCCTGAGGCTTTTTTTTTTTAAATAATGTAAGCATTTGCTCCAATAAATTTCACTTTAAATTCTGCTTTAGCACATCTCACAAATTTTGACTTGTGGTTTTATTTTCTCTTCTTTTGATGTCCCTTTACATTACTACTATTTCCTTAATTTCCCTTTCAGCTTATTCCTTTGACCCATGCATAGGTTATTTATTTAAAGGTCTGGTATTTAGTTTCCATATGTTTGGGGACTTTTAAAAATCTTTCTATTATTGATTCCAATTTCACTCCATAGTAGTCAGAATGCATACTTTGTATGCTGTGAGCCCTTTTACGTTTGAGACAGGTTTTGCGGCCCAGAGGACTGCCTGTCCTGGGACACGCTCCACATGCAGCTGCAGGCTGTGTGCCTTTCTGGTGTTGGCGAGTGTCTCATGAATGCCAGCGGCTCGCGGTGGTTGGTGGCATTGCTCAGGTGGCATTGCTCAGGTCCTCTGGGGCCTTACTAGCTCTCCATCTACCTCTTACATCAGGTGTGATGAACATGATATTTACATCTCTGATGTACCTGAATTTATCTTTTTTCTTCAGTCTCTGTTTTTGCTTCTTGTATCTTGAACCTTTCTTGATAGATGTGTGTGAACAGCTGGGCTTATGAAAGTGCCACAGAGACCTGGTCGTGCTGGGCTTGCTTGCCCAGCCTTGTCTCGTTATTCTGAATTGGTGGTTTTATTAGGTTGGTGCAAAAGTAATTGTGGTTTTTGCCATTGAAGCTGCAGTTACTTTTGCACCAACCTGAGACATTTTACATTCTGTTTTATACAAAAGGATTTGTGTTTTGTCTAGCTGGTTTTTCCTTCATGAACTACACTCCTATATTCTCAAAATAATCTATGCTTACTGGAACTTGGATTTTAAAAATAACTTTTTAAGTTCTACAAACACTGTCATGGTTGATTATAGTTTAGTTTAAAAAGAAATAAACATCAAGCTTTTAGGTTTTCCTGTTAATTTCTCTGACCATTTTTGTACAGCCTGAGAAACCTTCCGAGTTCTTACTTTGATTATTTTATATTACAGCCATCTAACAGGAATAATGCTATTGCATAGATAATGCAGAAAGGTATTATTCAGGAGAAAGAGGCTGGGCGCAGTGGCTCATACCTGTAATCTCAGCACAATGGGAGGATCACTTGAGGCCAAGAGTTTGAGACCAACCTGGGAAACATAGTGAGATCCTGTCTCTACTTTTTAAAGCAAAGGAAAAATTGCCTTGAATTTAAAGCAAATGCTGCAGATTTTCTTTAATGTGGATTCTGAATAGGGAAAGCTTAAAAGATACTTGGAAGTGTATTATCTCCATAAATGTCATGAGTAGAAACTTTATACGCGTTATAAATGTGTTTCCACCAGTTTCCCAGGGGGTAAAGACAGGTAGACCATTGCCTGTTAACCCAGGGTTCTCCTAACTGATTGGTCTTTATTGTCGTTATTGTGTCATTTCTTTCTGTGCTTGTTGTAATCTATAATGAGGAAATAGCAGATATTGTGCTTGTTAACAGTGCTTTGTGTCCTTCTCAGGAAATTTTGTACCATGTTAGTCGTTATGGAAACACTACTTAAGAGTAGTTTGGGTTTTTAAAAATATCTTTCTTATAGACTAATACTGTCTGTGGACCTTTACGTTTGTTTTTTATTTTCTTTTTTACTTTATTTATTTATTTATTTTTAGCTTTTCTCTGTTCTTCAGGCATTTGAGTTCAGCTGTTTGTTTGTTTGTTCTGTTGGGTTGGTTGTTTTTGAGACAGAGTCTCGCTCTCTCGCCCAGGATGGAGTGCAGTGGTGCAATCTCGGCTCATTGCAACCTCCTCCTCTCCCAGGTTCAAGTGATTCTCAGGCCTCAGCTTCCCGAGTAGCTGGGACTACAAGCCCCTGCATATTTTTTTGTGTGTATTTTTAGTGGAGATGGGGTTTCGCCACTACGCTGGTCTCGAACCCCTGGCATCAGGTGCTCCGCCTGTCTTGGCCTCCACGCCTGGCCCCTTTCTATGTTTTCTGAGTTCCTGTCTCTGAGGACAAAGGGTCAGGAGCTTAGAAAACATAGAACGGTCCTGCAGATATTATCCTAGTTATGCCAATGTGTTTTGCAGGTCAGAGACGAGCAGCACCAGTGTTTGCTGGGGAACATGAAGATCCCCCTCAGCCAGCTGCTCACCAGTGAGGACATGACACTGAATCAGCGCTTCCAGCTCAGCAACTCGGGTCCAAACAGCACTATCAAGATGAAGATTGCCCTCTGGGTATTGTGTCATCCTGCAGTGAACACCATAGGGGTTGGGGAGGCAGATGCTGGCAGGGATGTCGTGGGCCCTGGGCATGAGGCAGGTGAAGAAAGCTCTGTGTCAGCTGCAGCTCTGGGCCATAGGACGGTGCCAGTGTAGGGAGGAGATGCTTTTGGGGCATCAGGGCACCTGGGAGAAGACACAGGCTGGACCCAGCCATATAACAGGCCACATTTCCAGGCTTCCTTAGCTGGCCTACGGCTACTCAAAGTGCTGTCCTGTGAGCCCAGCCAACCTTACCGTTACCCTTTGGCCCTAGAAGTGTTACTGTTGGTATCAACAAGGTTTTCTCCTAAGGCTGAATTTTTAAAGGTTGTCCAGGAGAGAGAATTTAGTAAAACTCCGCAAGACAGTAGAACTTAAAGGAAAAAAATATTTTTTGTCCAAAATAAACCATGATGCATTTGTAAATAGCTAAGGAAATGTTGAAAGTAAAACTGGCAAACAAATGGGGAAATACTAAAACTTATGAATCAAAGAAATGCAAATTAAAATGAAGTGCCAACTTTTTTAGAAAATTACAACAGATGTCTTCTATTGAGGGGGCAATGGGAACAGCCTCCTTGCTCCTGGCAGAGACTGGGGATGTCACACACCCCTCCACAGGGAGCTGCAATGTCCCTGAGCCACTCATCTGAGGGTTCCTTAGCTTCTCTTCTAGAAACCTGACTTTCGTTTTGGTGATACAAAGTTTGGGGAGACCAGGAACATAAAGATGTTCACCGCAGCATTATTTCCTAACAGCAGAAAAAACTTCAGGCATCACAGTCACCCCAAAGTGGAGCAATTTACAAAGTATAGACTCTGCTCAAGCCAACCTGGGACCAGCTCCTGCACTCACACAGCTGGGAGACCCCAGGCCCTGTGGGTACCTGTACAAGGTATACACTCTGCTCAAGCCAGCCTGGGACCAGCTCTGTGCTCACACAGCTGGGAGACCCCAGGCACTGTGGGTACCCCCTGCTCCTACACTCATGCCAGGTTGTTTGGGGTGATCTTGCTGGATAGCAGAGGTTCTGGACTTCCTTCCTTCCTCTGGAAGCTCCACGTGGAAACCACCTATGTAGAATATGGTGGATCTGGTCTTCTGTCTAGGAAACATGACTCTGGGCTTTTGCAATAAAAACATTGTCCCACAATTGTTTAGAAATATGTGCAAACGGAGGAGACTACAGAAATACACAGAAGTGCTGTTGGGGGGCTCCTTGACTGAGACGTGGCCTGGGGAGGCTGGAGGAGCTTCTGCTTGGGTTGTGTGGCCCCAGAGGGTCAGTTTCAGGGGACTGGCCTTCTCTTCCACACCAGACTTATCACTGCCGCCACCAGAGCCTGAAGACACAGGCATTGAAGTTGCCCCAGCTACTTGGCAGGCTGAGTGGGGAGGATCTCTTGAGGCCAGGAGCTTGGGGTATAATGCGCAACAATTGTGCCTGTGGACAGCCATGACACTCCAGCCTGCGAAGCTTAGCAAGACCCATCTCTAGGGGAAAAAATGGTGTTTGCGTCACAGAAGTGATATTTTGGTTACTTACACTTTCCTTTAAAAAAAAAAAGTTTTGAGCTAAGTGTTAAATGTTTGCAGGTAGAGACATCGCAAGCTGTTCCAGTGTTAGGATGTTACCAGTGTCACCAAGTTTAATTTTTATGTTCATCTTCACCTCTAGGTGCTCCATCTCGAAAAGCGAGAGAGGCCTCCAGACCACCAGCACTCAGCTCAAGTCAAACGGCCCTCTGTGTCCAAAGAGGGGAGGAAAACATCTGTCAGATCTCATATATCTGGGTCTCCAGGCCCTGGCAGCAGCAACACAGCTCCATCCACACCAGTCATTGGGGGCGGTGATAAGCCTGGTGTGGAAGAAAAGGCCCCACCCCCTGAGGCCGGCCCTCAGGGGCTGCAGGACCTGGGTAGAAGCTCCTCCAGCCTCCTGGGCTCCCCAGGCCACATCTCAGTCAAGGAGCCCACCCCCAGCATCGCCTCAGACATCTCACTGCCCATCGCCACCCAGGAGCTGCGGCAAAGGCTGAGGCAGCTGGAAAAGTAAGTGCCACCATGTTGTTTCTCACCATCAGCGCATTTAACACAGCAGAGCGCAAGGCCAGCTTGCTTTGGGGAGGGAGCTGGGAGACTCCAGGCCCTGTGGTATTTGCTGTTTATAATAAGGACACTGGTTTTAACCTTGCGTACTCAATTCACGTAATCTTACGGTAACTGGAAGAACTTGAGAGTCTGAAGGATTTGATCATTTAAAGATGAGAACATGATGGCGTAATAGGTTTCACAAATAGGAAAGAGAAAGACAAGAGGCAGTTTTGGAACACTGCTCTGTGCCTGGGCTCCTGCTAGGAAAGCAGACGCAGAGCTGGCCTGCAGGCCTTGCTGCAGCTGCCTGAGGAGCCCTGACCTCCCGTTGTGTGGGGACGGAGCCTGCTCTTCCGCCTAGTCAGATCCCATCGCCACTGCCCGGTCTCTTTCATTTGTCTTCGGATATGTCTGTGTGAGTTCCTGATTTAAGCCCCATGACTCATAGGTGTGTTAAGGGTTTCTTTAGATAAGGAGGAAAAAGTCATCTGTAGTTATCACAAGCTTCAGATGTTAACCTTTTCCTCTTGGTGGAAGAAACAAAATTGACCTTTGGAATAGTTCTCCCTGTGTGTTGTTATAAGAGGTATATTGTGTGATAAGAAAACAGTAAAAGAAAGAGAGGCAAGGGTGGAAGTATGTTTGCTTCTGAGTCATTAGAAAAAGCACATGAAGACTGGGGGGCTGGCACAGCCACCCTCCTCCGAGCCACACTCACTTTTTTCTTTCATGCTTTCTCATGTCCAGACTATTGTGGAATAAAGAAAACATTCTTTCTTGCTTGCTCCAAAAGGAAATCGAATTTTAGACAAGGAACCACTTTTTCTGAGGAGCTCAGTGACAACTGGTCTTGTTCCATGGCCCTACTCAGGAAGTAGAAATGATCTCAGGGGCCACGGAACAAGACCAGTTGTCATTTTGTGGATCTGTGTTCCCTCCTTGAGCAGAGAGAAATTGAAGGAAGCGTGCTGTGATCTCATCAGATGGAAAGGGAGCGCGTGGCTGGCATGAGGCTTTGAGGTGGGACACGCAGATTCGGGCAGGACAAGATAGAAACTTACCAAGGATCACAGAGCCGATGCTTGCAGTAAGGACACTGTGGTTTTAACCTCAGGCACTCCATTGGTGAATCATAAGATCTGCACATTGGAAAGGATACTATTTCTTAATAGGTTGCAGCCTGCAGACCAGCCAGCCTGACAGACTGGGAAGCAGGCACCTCGGAGGAGGAAGGATAGGGCAGGAGTTTGGTGCAGAGCACATGTCCTCAGCAGGTTCCAGGATGAGCTGTGACTGCCACAGAGCGCACAGCCTCTGTAGAACAGCCGGCAGCAGTCCGTGGCCAGGGTCTGTCATCAGGAGAAAGTTCTGAAATTAGCCTCTTGTCAGTCAGCTGTAGTTACTTCAGTGGAGCAGGGGTCAGTGAGTCGGCATCTGGAGCAGGACAAGGTATGGTTGCTTTAACACTGCTGCTCTGAAGGCAGGTGCTTGTTTAGCTGCTGGAGAAAGAGACGCCTTGTGCCAAGTAGAACCCAGCTTATTCTTTAAGTGAAGGGCGTGGAGCTTACCCCTGCCTGGGATGGCCCCAGGTCTTTGTTGTAGCCTGGTACCTGACTGCCACGAAGAGTGCGTTCCTTCAGTCTTCAGATCTCTGTTGTAGCATTAACGCCGGTCAGTTGTGTCTTAAACTGCAGGTGGTAGGGTGTGACCTCCTATCCTGTCGTGGTCAGGAACTCAACGTTTAAGGTTTCTCTGGGGTCCCCAGTGTCTACTCATTAGGGGTGGGGTGGGGGCTTAGGATTTCATTTTTAGTTCTGAGGGTCCTAACTTAAAAACTGTGAGTTGACTGGGTGTGGCGGCTCACGCCTGTAATCCCAGCCCTTTGGGAGGCCAAGGCAGGTGGATCACCTGAGGTCAGGAACTCAAGACCAGCCTGGCCAACATGGTGAATCCCTGTCTCTACTAAAAATACAAAAAATTAGCTGCGCATGGTGGCGGGCACCTGTGATCCCAGATACTCGGGAGGTTGAGGCAGGAGAATCACTTGAACCCGGGAGGTGTAGTTTGCAGTGAGCTGAGATTGCGCCATTGCACTCCAGCCTGGGCAACGAGCAAAACTGAAAAAACAAAAACAAAAACCCTGTCAGTTTTGAATAATGAATTTATATTGAGCCTTCAAGTGAAATATTCATACTGTTGACTCATACCCAGAAGTTTCAGATGTTTAAGTTCATGGATAATTTGACTTTTTTTTATCAGAATGAAGTTATCTTATTGTGTACATTGGACCAGTGAGTCACAGTGTTTTCCAGTTTCAGGCAAGCTGGTGACTTTCTGCTCTTTTCCCACAGTGGGACAACCCTGGGACAGTCTCCACTGGGGCAGATCCAGCTGACCATCCGGCACAGCTCGCAGAGAAACAAGCTGATTGTGGTTGTGCATGCCTGCAGGTGGGGGCCGGGTCACCAAGCACCCACTGCTGAGCTGCTGAGTGTAGACGCTGGATAGGATGATGCAGACATCTGCTCTAGGATCACCAAATAGCCATTTATGTTTCGTTTCAAAAGGACAAAGCAGTTAGACCCCTAGAGCCGCTGCTCATAAAGGGTGTCACTGCCTCATGCATCACATGACAATGTTTTGATCATCAACGTACAGCGGTCCCCTAATATTGTACCGTATTTTTACTGTACCTTTTCTTTGTTTAAATACATGAATGTGTTATGTCACAATTGTCTGCAGTATTCAGCACAGTAGCATATGATACAAATGGGTAGCTTAGAACAGGAGGAATATCTGTGTGTGTGTGTGTGTGTGTGTGTGTGTGTGTGTGTGTATTTTGGAGGCAGAGTTTCACTTTGTCCCCCAGGCTTGAGTTCAGTGGTATGATCTCAGCTCACTGCAACCTCCACTTCCTGGGTTCAGGTGATTCTCATGCCTCAGTCACCCCAGTAATTGGTATTACGAGTGTGTACCACCTCACCTAGCTAACTTGTATTTTTAGTAGACGCTGGGTTTTACCATGTTGGCCAGGCCTCCTGAGTAGCTGGGACTATAGGTGGAAGCCACCAGGCCTGGCTAATTTTTAATTTTTTTGTGGAGACGCTGGTCAGGCCTCCCAAAGCACTGGGATTATAGACATGAACCGCCATGCCTGGCCTAATCAGGAAAACTTTAACTTGTTCCTTATATTATTTTAATAAGTGTCAAGTCAGGTGACACTGTTGCTTTAGTTGCATTTGGTTAACGATGATACTGTGGGCTTAGGAGGTTTTTTCCTTTTATGCAATTTTCTCTGTCCCATTAGTGGTTTAAAATGTGATATAAAAAATTGGGAGCTTGGCCAGGTGCGGTGGCTCAAGCCTGTAATCCCAGCACTTTGGGAGGCCAAGGCGAGTAGATCATGAGGTCAAGAGATTGAGACCATCCTGGTCAACATGGTGAAACCCCCGTCTCTACTAAAAATACAGAAAAAATTAGCTGGGCACGGTGGTGCGCGCCTGTAATCCCAGCTACTCGGGAGGCTGAGGCAGGAGAATTGCCTGAACCCAGGAGGTGGAGGTTGCAGTGAGCCGAGATCGCGCCATTGCACTCCAGCCTGGGTAACAAGAGTGAAACTCCGTCTCAAAAAAAAAATTGGTAGCTTATAAATAGCTGTAGGAAGCATAAGAGAAATTAGTGCCGTTTGGAAAGATGCTGTAACTGTAGAGTCCAACAGATCACTCTTGAGAAGTTCATATGTTCCTGCCACTAAGATAATGGCCATGGGGGTTACTGTTTCAGAGGAGTCTGCGAAACGATCCCCACTAGACTTTGGGTTCAGTCGGCAAGTGAAGAGTGTGGGGGCCCGTGTAACTGGCCGCTTGACCATGTTTACTGCAAAGGAGGCAAGCAGCCCAGGCAGGTCTGTGGGTAACTCCTGGGAGCCTGGATTGCTTGGCTGTGAGAGAGAAAGCGGCAGACGCATTGTGAAAAGACAGCTGGTACTCTGTGTTACAAGCAGAGACCAAGGACTTAGAATGTCCTCCAAACTCTGGGCTCTAGAAATGGGAGCAGAAGTCGCCACTGAAAGCCACTAAGAAGTTTGGGAGACGCCACCAGGCAGCTGTCAGGGGAGGCAAAAGTGTTTCATGCATTCTGTTCCTTATTGCTTCTCGGTTTTTGGATAATATGAAATCAGAGCTTGGTAAAGCACATCTGAATGTGCTGCTGATTCTCTTTCTGAATCCTAATACATAGTCTTCTCGGTTTGTGTTGTAAGAAACCTCATTGCCTTCTCTGAAGACGGCTCTGACCCCTACGTCCGCATGTATTTATTACCAGACAAGAGGCGATCAGGAAGGAGGAAAACACACGTGTCAAAGAAAACATTAAATCCAGTGTTTGATCAGAGGTACGATATTTTATCCAACTGAGGATAGACTGCCTGGTGGAAATGACAGATCAGAAGGCCCATGACTGTAGCTAATATTCAGCTATTGAGAAGTTCAGTCAGAAACCAAATTTTAGCAAACATACTTCTTAAAACAAATAAGCATTTTGAACTTCATGTAGAAGCTCTAAATGTAATGAATTTAAGTTATGAACCCTGTGGACAGGGAGAATAATGATTAAATAAAGATCAAGTTATTGATGGCCCTGAAGAACTCATTTTTGGGGGTAACAACTATGTTATCAATTAAAACTGAGAATTTAAGGATACATGTATTTTTAATTGTATTTTAAAATAACAGTAAGCCCCAAACATCTTAAAATATGACATGCTGGAAAAATAGCTATATTTCCAAAAACAAAAAACATAATAATGAAAAGAGTGATATTGTTCTGCATTGTTGCTAATCACTTTAGTGGTCTGGCTTAAGAGAGGCTGGAGTCTGCTTCTGTGGTCAGGCTGATTTGGTGACCTCTTAAGAGGGTCTCAGAGACCCCACAAGGGTCGTTGGCTCCGACTTAAAGAGTCACCAGTCTGTACCAATTTGATATCTTGCTTAATTGTCCCTGGTGCTTCAAAACCCACCTGTGTTTTGGGAAATGATAATACAGTTGGATGGTGTTGCTATTTGTTAATTCAGTTTTCATTTCATCTTTAAACATCCTCCTCATTCATTGTACTTTCATAGCAGTAGCTTTACCATACATCAGAAACTGGCAGGCATGCATCAACCCCTGATGGGGGTGTGCAAAGTGCTCCTACCCAGCCAAAGCATTTAAACATCTGGAGACTCCACATGCCCATCTGGGTTTCCAGCACTGTGGCCCGGGGCAGGCACCCCCAGTCCCAGCAGACGCCCTACAGACGATTTAGTGCAGCGTCTGGCTGAGCATCAGGAGTGCTTCGGAGGCCTTCTCCCTCCTGCGAAGCTGCAAGCACGAACTTTTTTTATTGGAGATAGTGGAGAAAGGGCCTGAAGGCTAAATCAGAGTGACTGGAAAGCCCATGTGAGTGGGCTGTTCTGAAATTGCCATTGTGTCAACACTGTCCCATATTTTAACCCCCAGGAAGAGTCAGACATGTTCAGAGATGCTCCTCACCCACTCATGAGTGAGCCAGGGACAGTGGGACCCAGACATCTGTGGGATGCCAGAGCCTTCGCTTATGTGCAGGAAATGAAGAAAAAATGTTGGTTTTTGAGTCTTCCTGAAATGCCAGATTAAAACATTTAGTAGAAGAACTCAGTTTTATAACAGAAAACAAACATGACATTTGGAATGGTTTCATGAGCAGAAATGACATTTTTAGTTATAAGAAAATAGAGCAGAATGATGGATAAAATTAAGTTAGGCTCTTGTTTCCTGTTTCAGCTTCGATTTCAGTGTTTCGTTACCGGAGGTGCAAAGGAGAACTCTCGACGTCGCCGTGAAGAATAGTGGCGGCTTCCTGTCCAAAGACAAAGGACTCCTTGGCAAAGTAAGTGCCACAACGAATCCTCCATCAGTTCCTGCGCTTTGTAAAAATGGAACGTTTACCTGCAGTGTGTGTTCAGACCATGTCTGTGTAAGCGGAAAGGGTGAACTTACCAGGTCAGTGCTTGCTTATAAATTGTGGGCTATAAAGACAGTCAACTAAAACATCTGTGCTTTCTGAAGATGTTTTAAGTTATTTTAATTTTTTTTACCTATTCAGATTATTGATTCATTAATTGTACTAATACCATGAACTTCTAGTAGAAGAAAAGATGTTTTCTTTTTAAGTATTCAAAGTTTTGTTCAAGTATCACATTGAAGGGAAATACACAGGAAAATTGTCTCTTAAAATTCTGTCTCCTCAACTGGTGGCACTGCTCTTTTTCTGAAGTTCATTGGCTTTATTGATCTGCATTTCTTCCAGTCTTTGTTCATATTCACATTTAACTTTGGCACGTGGGTATAGGTTATATAAGAGTGAATGTAGGGTTCAGCTAGGGAGGAGATTTGAGTCATAGGTGTCTTTTGTGAGCTGTGCTGCCATGGAGGGCATGTGGGCCAACACTCCTGTGAGTCTTCTCCACTGATACGTCATCATAGCTGAATTTTAAGACTGCTGGTTACATGAAGGATTTCTTAGATGTAGTCACCCATATAGATTACAGGTGCTCACAGGGGTAGAAAAGACTGAAAAAATAAGATCCCAGGCCAGGCATGGTGGCTCACGCCTGTAATCCCAGTACTTTGGGAGGCCAAGATGGGTGGATCATGAGGTCAGGAGTTTGACAAAAATTAGCCAGGCTTGGTGGCATGCACTTGTAGTCCCAAGCTACTTAGGAGAATGAGGCAGGAGAATTGCTTGAACCCAGCAGGTGGGAGTTGCAGTGAGCCAAGATCGTGCCACTGCACTGCAGCCTGGGCAACAGAGTGAGACTCTGTCTCAAAAATAATAATAATAGGAACCTTCAAAAAAGGAAAGTCCATATTCTAGATGAAGACAGACAATTAGAGAGATGAGAAGAGGTGGTAAAAAATCTAAAAGACATTGCTGTAGCCTCTCTCTCTCTCTCTCTCTCTCTCTCTCTCTCTCTCTCTCTCTCTCTCTCTGCCCCCCCTTCCCTCCCTCCTTTTCCTTTCTTTCTTTGGAGACAGGGTCTGTGGAAGTACAGTGGCACAATCATGGCTCACTGCAGCTTCAAATACCTGGGCTTAAGCAACCCTGTCTCAGCCTCCAGAGTTGCTGGGACCATGGCGCATGCCAGCATGCCCAGATAATTTATTTTTTTTTAATTTTTAGTAGAGACAAGGTTTCACTATCTTGCCCGGTCCAGTCTCAAACTCCTGTGTTTAAGTGATCCTCCTGTCTTCGCCTCCCAAAGTGCTGGGATTATAGGCTTGAGCCAGTGTCCCCAGCCCAGGCTACTTTAACAGACTACTATTTTAAAAACCCACAGGTATTGGTTGCTCTGGCATCTGAAGAACTTGCCAAAGGCTGGACCCAGTGGTGAGTGTCCCTGCTGCAGACAGAGAACTCCAGCCTGTAGCTAAAAACGCCTTCCGGGGCCCGGTGGGTAGTGTCCCCCACAGATAGGGGAGGAACCAACACGCATCTGACAGACTTTTCACACTTGGCCCTGCATGTGTCACCACCTTCCCATCACTGTCTTTCTCAGGTATGACCTCACGGAAGACGGGACGAGGCCTCAGGCAATGACATAGCTGCACCAGGCGGGAGAGAGGTGCCCTCTTCAGCGTAGCGCCTCCACCTCTACCCAGAACACACCCTCTCACAGACATACCAATGTTATTTTTATAATTTCATGTATTTAGTTATACATACCTTAATAGTTTTATAAAATTGTTGACATTTTAGGCAAATTTGGCCAATATTATCATTAAATTTTATATGTTGGATTTCCTCTAGGATTTCACCAGTTCCTACAATGTGCAATAGGATGATGTTAGCTCTTGTGTCTGTGGACTCTGCCCAGCTGTGTCAGTAGGAGGCGGATGTGTCTGTGCTTTATTATGGCCTTGTTTATATATCACTCAGTATACTATGCCATGTAAATAGACTCTATTTTTTATAATCTTTACATGCTGGTTTAAATGCAGAAGAAAATAGATCAAGGAAATATATATTTTCTTCTAAAACTTAATAAATTCTTGTGACAAATAATCATTTTCCTCTTTGCAGCAAAAAGTTCTCAGTGACCTATTTTGTGGCATTTCTTTTTAAAAAGAAAAGCTGAAAGATGAAATGTTAGTATGTTTCTGCCCATTATGAATGATGAAATAAAGTATTCAAAATATTAACATTTTCATAAATATAAGGATGTATTATTGAGAAGTAAGTTGAAGGGCTTATAAGGAAAAATATTTTATAACTGAGTAATATAAGATATTCAGAGAATTGTCATGGTTCATAAATTATATTGTACTAATCTGAAATTTCTTACATAAAAATGAAATGTCTTGTTTATTTTAATTGCTGTTATAACTTACTTATGAAACAGTATACAGACACCTTGTTCTTTTCCTAAAATATAAGAACAGACTTTCAATGTTAGCAATTAAGCTACTGCCACATAGTCATGAGCTTTGTTAATTTTTAGTGTCTTCCCAGCCTATAAAAAAAAGAAAGTGCACGTTGTCCTTTTAAAGGTTGTGAGGTAGATTGGGATGCGTAGCTAGGAAATTGCATTAGAAATCGAAAGCTCTATCTCTCATTATTGTCAGGAACACCTAGTGTGACGTCACACATAGGATATGGGAAATGTGAGCCAATGTGCACCGGCCACCGCCAGGGTTCGGGGCACCACAGCTGCGAGCACAGCCCTTGCTGCTCTCGACAGCCACTTCCTAGCTGCCTCACTTTATGCCACGACTAACCTTAATGTTGGGATGCTGTTATGCAATGTTTATTCTGTTGAGACTATTAAAAGCATGTTTATGTACCTAAGAGTCCCCCAGACCTCCTGTAAGGCGAGGCTCTATTGCAGTGTCACAGGCTGTGGTGTCTGTAAGGAAAGAATGCACATATGTTAGACGATTAAATGTATATTATAAGGTCTGTGCTGAAATGGTTTCTGTAGCCATGAGAACATCTTAAAACTATGTATAAATGTACTGAGGAAAATACAGCTTTGTAATTGAAATCAGAGCTCTTAGCTTGTTTCATGGAACTATACAACTTGTGGGTAACTCACATGACCGAACAAACCAAAGTGCCTGTGGCAGAGGCTGGTGGTCTCCGCCCACCTCTCCCTTCCAGCAGGTTGTGATTTTGTATCCCTGTATAACTTACACTTTGAACCGTGGGTTTACTTATAGTGGAGTCTGTAGCTTCATAGCACATTTCATGTCATCCTAAGACTATAGTCTGTCTTCTACATGATGGCATTTCACTCTAAAGCCTCTTTATACACCACTTACAATGTTGGTATATAGGCTTATTCGGGAAGCATATGAATACATTTAAAGACACATATGAACCTGTATGCACACAGAACGTTTAACTCTGATATTTATGGAAGATAGGTAATAATGTTAAATCTAGCTGCTTTTCCATGCTATTAGAGTTTTGAAGGTTTTTTAAAATTAGACATGCCAAAAGCCTTCTGTCATAATCTATAAAGAAGTGCTCATCGAAATTATGGCAGCCAGTAATTTTTACCAACATCCCCTGTGTGTCATCTGCTCCATGTGTATTTTGCTTGATGGAATGCTTTAAGCACTGAGGCAGAGTGGACACAACTGAAGGTACAAGCCCAGAGGAAGCAGTGGGGTAGCACCGGGCCTGCCCCTGGCAGGGGAGTCAGGAGAGCCGCCTCAGGGGCTTGTCTGGAGGTGCTTGCCTCCAGTAGCCGTCTCCATTCTCCTTAAAAGGAAGGAAGAAAAGAGGGTCATTCTGTGGAACCAAAGTACCTCCCAGGCTCTTCCCACTCCAGGATCCCAGTGACGTCAGACACTCAAGTTGTTCTCAAAATGTTAATTTTCAATTTTAATCAGTTTACCTAAGAAAAGGGAATTTTATCTTTTCTACCTTGAGCCAAGCCAGCGAAGGGAAAATTAATTAACTTAGTAAATTTGAAGTGCAGCTGTCTTAGCTCGTACATGTGGGTTCTTATCCTGTGCCTTAAAGTAGGAAGGTGTTTCCAAGTTCAGATTAAAATAGAAGCAGCCAGTTGGGTGCAGTGGCTTATGCCTAGCACTTTGAGAGGCCAAGGCAGGCGGATCACCTAAGGTCAGGAGTTTGAGACCACCCTGGCTAACATGGTGAAATCATGTCTCTACTAAAAATACAAAAATTAACTGGGCATGGTGGTGAACACCTGTAATCCCAGCTACTACTTGGGAGGTGAGGGGGGAGAATTGCTTGAACCCAGGAGCAGATGGCGCCATTGCACTTCAGCCTGGGCGACAGAGCAAGACACAATCTCAGTAAATAAATATATAAATAAATAAAATAGAAGCAGCAGCTTTGTAGCTGTGTTTATCCTGCACAGTAAGAATTCCTTTTCGTCAGCCTTCCTTTTTCAGGCACCTAAGCCAAATGCAGGCCTGTGTGTAGCTGTGTGTTTATTCTGTGGTTGCCACATTTATTCCACCTCCAGCTGGACCCCCCACTGCAAATAGAGAGCAACAGTGGGGGTGGGGGTTAAAACTTAGAGACTGTCCTTTCTGTTCAACTAATTTCACATGACAGTGCATGTATTTATTCAATAAAACTTTTATGTTGGCTCACTTGTGATTCGTTTTTTGTCTTTTGAAGGGAAATGTTCAGTGTGCAGTCAGATCATTTGAAAGGAGACGTCGTGTACTGTTTTCATTTGCTCTCTGCCCATGCACTGTCAGACAGCTGACGTTCTTCCGTGTTTCCCATCTCGGTCTGACTGTCCTCTGCCTAGCACGCTACACTCTGCATGTTGAAAATGGCTCTTCTAAAGGATCATCATGAGTAGAAAAAATAGACTTTAAATGTGTTTTTTAACCAGGGCACTGAGAAGTGCAGCGGGGGCTGCTAAGATGTCTGAACGTTTGAACACACTGAGGTGATACTGGAGAATCCCTTATGGTTCCGTTCATTACTGGTGGTTGGGATTGATTCAATGAGCCCTTGTTTTCCTTGTAGCGACTCAGCATTTAACACTCTGCACTTCCTTTCTCCTTTATAGAGCTGTTGGCCCCACACGGTCGTGGGTGTTCCTTATGCTGTGCTGAGGTACAGGATCCAAGAAGTAGAGAACTGGAGAAGAGCAGCTGAACTTGTGGGGGCCACGCCACCTATGAGTGGAGACAGGCGAGGCCCCGGATGTGCAGAAACATCTGTATTTATTAGGTACAAGCAGGGGGCAGGGTCATGCGTGAGGTCGTCATCTATAGGCTTAGTAATAGGGCATACATAATCACGAGTCACAAGTGAGAGGGCCACCCCATCATGTCACCTAGGCAGAGAGGTGGGCCGTGCGCAGTAGAGGGCCGTGCCATGTGCAGTATTAGAGGGTCGTGTACAGAAAAGGGGTCCACCCTCATTAGGTCACCAAGGCAAGGAGGTGGGCTGTGTGCAACAGGTGTGCGCAACATTTCTTATCTGGGGGCTGGAGACTTCAAAGGTTTTCTAACAGAAAGATACTGTAAGCCAATGCAGTGAGAGCTGACAGACCTGTGCTCTTCTCAAGATATTTATGGGAGGATGATTTGAGCTAGCACAGAAGCGAGAAAAGACAGGGTATACAGCCGCTGTAACTGGTCACACCAGAGGGGTTCTTCTCCCTCGGTTACTTCCAGGATCTCAGGCCTGAGGCCTGCTTTCCACAGGAACTGGATGCAAGCTACTACAACTTCTCTTTCAGGAGGGGAGGCTCTTGCTCCAAGCCTGCCATACAGCATATTCCCTTTCAGGCAGGGACGCCACCGCCTGGGTCTTTGGTTCTCATCCTGGTCTGGCTGTTTTCCCATGTGCTGCTTCTGTTCTGTGACTGCTCTAGGCGTTCCTCCTACTGCAAACTACTATATGGTTCTATGGAAGGATTCTATAAATCAGCACTAAATGTGTTGGTACAACTCTGACTACATCCGTTATATGATTATATAGAAAGATTATATGGGACTAAGTATGATTATATATACAAGCTAGATATAAGTAAGCAGTTATACTTCAGGCACTAAGTGTGCCTGCAGTCTGCACAGTTCTTCCTTGGTGCCCATGCGGGTGTTACCCACACTCCTCAGTCATGGGCCATCTTTCCTTGGCCTCTGTAATGCTTTCATCCGTATTTTCCTTGTACGTTACTGGGCATTTCTTGAGGTCTCACTGTCTTCTCCTCGAACCAGACTCAGTGTTGGTATAATGCAGATTTTGGTTCTGATCACTTTATATTTGTATTTGGTGTTCTTAATGCCATCACTACTCTGGTTTCCTTATGTATGTCACTGATACAGATGTTCTCTGAGCCCAGGACCCCTCACCCCACTGCTTCCCTGTCCTCTGTGTCATGGAGACCTCAAGGCCCACCTTTGTCCATCTGTCTGTCTATCATCTGTCTTGGTACTGGAGCTGAGACCTGGACAGCACAGGCCATCTCCCACCACCTCAGCCCATGTGCAGATACCAAGTCCTTGAGCTCTAACTGGAGAGTGTATCCACATCATCTGTGTCCCCTCAGTTCAAGCCACTATTACTCTGCCAACAATGTGGACTCCCCATTCTCAGTATTTATCTCCTGCCTGCTCCATTTTCCATACAACAGCCAGGGGAATCTTTCAAACACAAATCTTCACTCACGCTCTGCTGTGTTCCACTGCACAAAACCAAGAGCATCTCCCAACTCCCAAAGCTGAGCGTTTCTAATTCCGCTAGGACTCTCACCCCCATACCTAAATCGTGCCTCTTCCTCTCAGTTCCACAGACTGCCCATATGCCCTTCCACACAACACCTCCAGGGATGCTTCTTCCCAGCCAAGCCCCTCCACACCTGCTCCAATGCCCCCCCAGCACCTCCACACCTGCTCCAATCCCCCCCAGCACCTCCACACCTGATTCAATTCCCCCCAACACCTCCACACCTGCTATAATTCCCCCCAGCACCTCCACACATGCTCCTCCCCCAGCACCTCCACACCTGCTCCAACCCCCCCAGCACCTCCGCACATGCTCCAATCCCCCCAGCAACTCCACACCTGCTCCAACCCCCCCCAGCACCTCCACACCTGCTCCAACCCCCCCCAGCACCTGCACACCTGCCCCTCCCCCAGAACCTCCACACCTGCTCCTTTGGAAGCTGTAGCTTATATTATTTGATTGGTTAAAGTCTTTCAGTATCTCTCCTTTTAAAAACAAAGGACCATGGATACTACAACTCAATGTGTGTTCTTCAGAGTTTTAGTTACAATCTTTTTCAATGCAAAAAAGTCATTATCACTTTATAGTGATTGTTAATAATATCTAATAGATATTATTGGCAATAAGATTGGCAATTTCTGTCCTTGTTTATATTTCCTGGATTCCATACCTTTCCTTGAGTAGACTTTTCTTCTTTAATAATTCTTTAGTGGGAGTCTCTGTGTATTGGTTCCCTTGGTGTTTTAAGGACTGAAAATGTCTTTATTTGCTGTTTTCCTTGAATAATTAGCTGGCTGGTTATAAAATTCTGAGTTGGCAGTTACTTTTCTCCAGCACTTGCCTTCTGGGTATTTACTGTTGATGATGATTGTTTGTAATAGTCTTCACACCCAATAATTATTAAATCATTCACACCTCATTAAGCAATCTGTCTTTTCTGTCTGAAAGATTTTAGGCTTTTAAAAATAGCTTAGTGTTCTATAATTCTATTATAACTTACATAGGTATGGATTTATCTTAATTCTTATGATTGCATAGTATATAATATAAATTTTTTTTTAATTGAGTTGTAGTTTCGCTTTTGTTGCCCAGGCTTGAGTGCTATGGCACGATCTCTGCTCACTGCAACATCTACCTCCCGGGTTCAGGCAGTTCTCCTGCCTGAACCTCCCGAGTAGCTGGGATTACAGGTGCCCACTGCCACACCCAGCTAATTTTTGTACTTTTAGTAGAGACAGGGTTTCACCATGTTGGCCAGGCAGGTCTTGAACTCCTGAGCTCAAGTGATCTGCCCACTTTGGCCTCCTTGTAATCCCAGCACTCCTCACTCCCAAAGTACTGGTATTACAAGTGTGAGCCACCAAGCCTGGCTACTATCAATCTTAAGAAACACGTTTTTTTCTCAATTCTGGAGAATTATCAGCTAGTATTTTGTTGTATATTTCTTTTTCAGCAATTCTCCAGTTTACTCATCTAGAACTGCTTATAGAGCATATTGGAAGTTCTAAATTTATTTTCCATGTCTGTTAACTGCTCTTTTATATACATATATTCTTTTTTAAAAAAAATTTCTGTGCTGTGCTCTGGTCAAAATCCTCAGTTGTGAGTTGCTATTCACTAATTTGTTCTTCCATTTTTCTCCAGCCTATAGAGTTTATATCAGCTATTAATTCTATTTCAACACTATATTTGTGATTTCCAAAATAAGTAATTATGTTTCCTAGCTACCTGTTCTCATTTTATTTTACCTTTTTAAAATTTTTTTTTAATTGAGACGGAGTCTTGCTCTGTTGCCCAGGCTGGAATGCAGTGGCGTAATCTCAGCTCACTGCAACCTCCGCCTCCCAGGTTCAAGTGATTCTCCTGCCTCAGTCTCCTGAGTAGCTGGAACTACAGGTGCATGCCACCATGCCCTGCTAATTTTCTGTATTTTTAGTAGAGACAAGGTTTCACCATGTTACCCAGCATGGTCTCAATCTCCTGACCTCGTGATCCATCCACCTTGGCCTCCCAAAGTGCTGGGATTACAGGCATGAGCCACTGCGTCCAGCCTATTTTTCTTTATTTTCTTACTTTTTTTTTTTTTTTTTTTTAATTTTGAAACAATTTCACTCTGTCTACCAGGCTGGAGTGTAGTGGCACAATTGCAACCACTGCATTCTCTGCCTCCCACATTCAAGTGATTCTCCTGCCTCAGCCTCCAAAGTAGCTAGGATTATAGGTGCCCACCACTGCACCCAGCTAATTTTTGTATTTTTAGTAGCGACAGGGTTTCACTGTGTTAGCCAGGCTGGTCTCGAAATTCTGACCTCAAGTGTTCCACCCCCATCGTCCTCCCAAAGTGCCAGGATCACAGGTGTGTGAACCACTGCACCCGGCCCCTGTTCTCCTTTTATTCTTGTTTTGTTTGATAATTTTTTGCCTTTTATGCATGGATGGTAAGTCCTTTATTTATCTCTTAGAATATCCTAAACATAATTATTTAGATTGTCAAGAGAATCCTAGTTCATATTCTGATTGTTAATTATGTTATCTGTCTTCCTTGTTCTATATGCTCATATGTTTTAATATGGCTGGAAGCCCCACCCCCATTTTTTTTCTTTTGAGACAGGGTCTTGCTCTGTCACCCAGGCTGGAGTTCAGTGGTGTGATCATAGCACACTTCATTCTCGAACTCTGGGCTCAGGAGATCTTCCTATTTTAGCCTCCAGAGTAGCTGGAACCATAGGTGTGTGCCACCATGCCCAGCTAAATTTTTTTTCTTTTTGTAGAGATGGAATCTTATTATGTTACCCAGGCTGGTCTTGAACTCCTGGCCTCAAGCAATTCTCCTGCCTCAGCTTCTTAAAGTGCTGGGATTACAGGTGTAAGCCACTGCCACCAGCCCTGGAAAGTCCCTTTT